GCTGTGGGCTCCTCCTTCTGGCGGAATTCTTGCCGGCCGGCCGGCTCCGCCTGCACCGGGGCTTCCTGCCCCCTGGCGGCCACAGCCTGCAGAGCCTGGCGCAGAAACAAATACTTCGCTGCTTTGTCGTGTGTCAGGGTGAGTGACTCTCGGTGATTTTCGTATTCTGGTCCCCATAAGTGTTGCTCGCATTCAGAACTGCAGGAGGCACAAGAAGGGACTGTGATAATTGCCCCGTTGGGCAGACAGTGAGCGATTTTGTGGTCATCATAATTCATTGATTCTGGCTTTTAGGTTCAGCCTATGGGTGAAGCTTGAAGACTGTGTTTTCAGAGCCAGGTGTGAGGAGGTGTTGGGGGGCTGGTCGATGTTGCCTGTTGTAGCAAGAAACCAGCAGATAACACGGAAGACTGGGTGGCAGCGTGAGCGCGTCAGAGACACACGGGACCCGTAGGAGAGCGGCTGCAGGTGGGGCTGGGGCGCCATGTCCCGGCCTCAAGCTTCTAGTCCTTCGGCAGGCCTTCCCTGGCACGCGCGCCGTGGCCCGCTGAGCGCAGAGCAACCCTGACAGGGCCAAGCAGAGGAGACAAGCCCACAGTGTGGTGGCAACTAGCCCTGGGGCCACGGCCACTCGTGGAGGGTCCTGACTCGCGCCCAGCCATCTTCTCCAGCCCACTTCCCTGGCGCTTGCGCGGGGCTCCTGCTCCCCCCTCGTCTGCCCACACTCTCGCTTACGTGTCTCCTGTGGGTCTCTGTGGGGTCCCCGCTGCCCTCTCACCATGATCTCTTCTTGTTCCAGGAGCTGCTGCTGGAGTTTGAATGTGAAATGCGGAAGAGGGAGCATGAGTTCCACCTGCAGGCTGGCAGCATGAGTAGCGTGGCCTTGGCACACGAGCTAAGGGTACGGGCATGCCCTCGGGCTGTGACAGTTTCCTCCTCAGAAGCGAGAGCCCCTGCTGAGTTGTGAGGCGACCTCTGAGCTGCGCATCAGGGTTCACGCAAAGGCCTTCTTGCTTGCACGCGGGCTGGGGTCTCCCCTGCGCGGAGCTGGGGGCGACGTGCAAGAGAGGAGCCGCCACATGCTCCGCTCAGGGGCGAAGGCCACTCCGCCATCCAGAGGAGCTCTGGCACCTCCGCTGCAGTCGCCCCGGCCTTGGGAGGCGCACCCCCAGCCCCCGGCATGAAGTGCCGCACAGTCCTGCCGGGCTGCCTGAGACTGTGCAGACCCTGTCGCTGGCCACGGCCTTCTGGGGGCGCCTCGGGATGGGCCTGGGAGGAGCTGCTGCTTGTCGCCCACTTACAGCAGGGAGGCCGGTCCCGGGGCTCAGCGGCTCGTCTGCAGCTCATGCTCCCAGACGTGGTGCTGCCGTCTCTCCATGAGCGTGGGTGGTTTAAGGCACCCGCCTAAGTACTGCCAGGATCCGTGTGAGGCACATGCATGCCTGGCCCTTAGCACTGAGACAAGGACCAAGCTGGAGGGTCAGGGGAAGAGGAAGCAGGTGATGCCTGGCCTGGGCTGCCAGCCTCCCCACAGTGTCGTAGTCCAAGGGCAGTGCTCAGCCAGCAGGGGCCCCAAGGCCCGGGTGGTTTAGCATGGGGTCCAGGCCAGGCCCCCCGGCCTCATGTCCCGGCACAGACATCAGGCCCCTCTGCGTGAATCACCCCGCTCCATCCCCGGGGGGGGGTTGCCTAGGCCATCAGGCATTTGGCCCTGAGGTGGGGGCTGCTCTACAGTGACCCTCGTGAGGCCCATCGGGGGACTCCTGAGCACCGGGAGAGAGGGCAGGCGGAAATGGGGGCTGCCTTGTGCCCCGCAGCTCCGTGACACAGTGGCACGCTCTTTGGGGTTGTGGCCGATGTAAGTGGAGCTAGGGGATCCCCAAGGTGCAGACCCTGTCTCACTGCGCCAGTTAATTGCAAAGCTCTGGACACCCACCCAGACATCTAGGACATCACGACATGCACGGGGGCCGTGGCCTCGCAGCCCCTGCCTGCACCTCCCATGCTGGCGTCCACGGCACTCGCATGGGGGCTGGGGAGTGGGTGGAGCGACACTGGCCCGCATGGCCCGCCGTTGGGTGGAGAGCACCATCCAAGGTCCTGGGGCCCCTCCGAGCCTTCCTGTGGGAGCGTGGGAGCCCTCCACTGTCCTGTGGCCTCCTGAACTCTAACTTCTCTTTTCCTCTCGTGCTGATGAGTGGCAGTGCCTGACCTCTAGCTCCTGGTTTGCTCCAAGTATATCCGTGCTCTGACTCACCTTTGCTCTCAGGTTAAACTACTGAACAAGCAGCTCATGACTCTGGAGGAAGCCGGTGCGAAGGCTGCGGAGTCACTACAGCGTGCTGAGACGGTGAACTTGGAGCTGAAGCAGAAGCTGCAGCGCCAGGCCTGGGAGGTCAGGGACCTGGCCGCCGTGAAGGACGCCCGGTGCGGGGCCCCTGCTTCTCCTTGGGTGGGCTTGGCCAGTGTGTCCATGGTGTGGGCTCTAACCCTGCCTGGTCCAGGTCACTCCAGGCCGGCCTTGCCTAGTCCTCTGTCTTCGTCTTCTGCTAACAACTGATCCTTTTCAGGATAAAAGACTTGGAGTGTAAGCTGCACTCTGTGCGGCTCTCCTGGAAGAAGGAAGAAGAAACGTTTCGGAGGAAGTGAGTGTCTGTGGCTGCTGGTGTCCCCGGCCCCCGGCGTGGGGGGGAGAGCTGGCTGTGGGTGAGCTTACGGCCAGGGCAGAGGGCCCCACCCGGCACAGGGCCCGCTGGCCCGTGAGCCCAGCGCTTTGGCCTGCGTTCATGCTCTGTTGAGGATTTCCTCACGGGTGTTTAGGCTTTTCAGTGTTTTAAAACTTTTTAACTTAGAAGTTAACCTTTAAAACTTAAAAGGTTACTAAGCAGCTTATCAACTTTAGATTGCAGCAGCTACTTTGGTGATATGATCACCTTTTTTTTTTAATTATGGCAAAATAATTCTGTCCCCCCGGCTGTACCTTCTCTAGGCTCTCCTGATGCCCCCCTTCCCGTGGAAGCTCTTGCCTCACACCCGGTGTGGGGCGTGTGCCTGGCAGAGCGGCAGTAGGTCTCTGCGTGCCTGGCACCTCAGCCCCGAACTGAGACGTAGGATGCAGTAGGTGGTCAGAGAAGGACAGGGCTGGCTTCAAGTGCAGGGGAGGCCTGTGGCGGGCGCAGGTGAGTGTGCCCAGGTGGGGGGCGCCCAGGCCTGGGTTGGCAGGCCCTGCAGACCCCGGGGGCAGTGTGCGTGCGCTTCAGCGGCTGCAGGAATCATTTGCTTTGCTTTTCTGGAGAATGTGGTCTGACCACCTGTAGAGCCTGCATGGTGCTTAGGAAGGTGCCAGGAATGACCTGCGGTGAACTGGAGCAGTTCTTCTTGTAGTTTTTGTTTTGTTGCCATGATATTCATGCAATACATGCAAAAGGCTGTCCGTCAGCTGCCTCCCCTGTGACCAGATATGGAGCTGAAGGTTGCTGTGCTGTCCACTGTCCAGATGCCCTTTGGTGGTGGACGGAGGGGTTGTGCCCTCAGCTGTTGCCCAGAATACAGGAGTCTGCCCACATGAAGCACATGCCAGCACCGAGGGTGGGCTTGGTGCCCGCTCCTGGATGGGGAGACTGAGGCCGAGGGGAGCAGGCGCCCTTGAACAGGGGACAGCAGAAGATGGCGTGCCCGGACCAGCCCAGGCCGGTGGTGCGGGTCTTCTGCACAGCACCCTGTGCCCCACGGCCTTCCGGCCTGCACAGCCGTGGGCGAGGCTGGGGACACTGCTCCTCCTTATGTCTGTCTGGTGCACGCCTAGACTCCTTCTAATCATAAATTGAAAGAGTTAAAAATGAATATAATTTCTAGCATTTTATAAATATTGACATTAAGAAATAAAACTGCTCAGTGACATTTTTGAAATACCTACACTGTAGTGATTCCACACCCACCAACATCTTGGATCTTTATGACGTGTAGGAACCAGCTCCTCTCTCGCTGTCAGAGGCCTCACACTGCCCCCCTTTCTCCCTGCAGTCCTAGTTCTACTGACCCCCTCAAGGAATTTTATCTGAATATGATGCATTTTTTATGCTTGAAGAAATTTGGAATTAGTCACCTCTAACATCAGGTGTATTCATAATAAACTAAAAATAATAAAATTCCCTGGGGTCACAAGGCTGTACGTGTTCAGAAAGGTTTCTAAACGGAGATATGGTAATCATCGGTACCTACTTTAAGAACAATGTACTATACGATAAAATCCAGTAATCACGAAGTAAACCATCAGGTGCCCCTGGGCATGCACCACCCGCTGAGGCGGGAGGGCCTCGCTCAGCTCGGGACCATCTCGCTCACGCACACGGCCAGTGGGGGCTGGGTGGGTTCTTGGGGCGACATCTCACACGCTCCAAACTCCTTCTAGGTCATATGCCAAGAGCCACCTGCTGGCCTCCCCGCAAGAATGATTGTAAACCGTCTGTTGGCGGACCATGTAGCCCCCCGACCCTGTGAAAGCAGAGAGGTGCAGTGCCCCCGCCTGCCACAGGCTCCCCCCTGTTGGCAGGACTGTTTACTTTCTCGTTTTCCAGAAGTTCAGATACAAGTTTTACCAAGACTTACCACATAACTCTTACACTTACACCTGGTAACTTTCTGCTTTGAGACACCTCCTAGTATACTGAGAGGGGAGAAAAGTGGGAAACTGAAGTATTGTGGCCCAGCACACTTTTGCCAACATCATCTTTGTAAAGTACTTTTCTGTTGCTACAGGCTTTACAGTTTTTCCCCCAGAACCTCAAACTGCAGATCTAATTTCAGTTTAGGCAAACTGTTCACCAGGTCACCTAAGTGGCAAAGCCCCCACTCCCCGGTCAGCCTTGCTGTGCGATAGTCTCACTTCATTGTTCAGCTCAAGCAAGCGAAGTTGTGTGTTTTTGGAGGAGTACCATCAAAACACTGAGAATTACTGATCACATGTACAACAAATCACTACAGACAGTCCGGAAGATGACCACTTGGTGCTAATGTACTTGACCCATTCTAAAATGTCCCTAGAGCCGGGACACAGACACTCGCCTCACGCTCTGTGACAGTGACTCTGTCGTACTGCTCAAACAGTATCATTTCGGAGCCAGCATGACGGAAGGTGGTGTATTCCTTCGTGCAGGTGGGGGCGTCCATGCCCTGGAGTCCTGGTGTCTGCCTTTCAAAAGGAACCAGACAGTCGTGCTGCGATTCGGAGATAACTCCCCTAGTTATTGTGGTCAAACCTTTCCTATGACTCGATGAAAAAGAAGAGAATGTACTGGCAGAAACTAATGGGGACAGCAGCTGGGGTGTTCTCATTTTTTTTACTAACAAGGTAGAGAATGCTGAAGAGCTCACAGATGAGGGTTGATTGTAATTACAGTGAAAAGTGTGTGCCTGAGTTAATTAAGGCTTAACCATCTCATTGAAAAGTGCTGATGGAATCTAAAAGAAATGTAGAATAATTTTTAGGGCTTTTTACTTTTTATTGAAACCAGATTCAATAAAAGCATGAGAAGTCATGATTACCAGCAGTCAAATGCATGTGTGAGACCCAACAGCCTGGTGTATTGTCAAGATGAACATCTGTTCTAGTGACAGAGTCCTGATAGGTTTGGCATTTCCAGAGGACAGGCGCCGCTGGCGTCCCCCAGCCCCAGGGAAGTCCCCGCATTCTGGATCGACGTCAGCTGGGCAGATGGAGTGACCGGGAGTCTGCCTGCGTGGCTGGGGTGCAAGGGCAGCACACACCGCTGCTTGCTTTCAGGTGTTGATAGAAATATGGGGGGCGGAAGGAGTACAATTGTGCTTTACTAAGTCACCTGTCTCTGGTGTCTTTCTTCCATGGGACTGAGTCCCAGAGAGTGGGCCAGGGGCCTGGCACATAAGAATTGTTCAATCAGTGTTCACACGAGGATTGATTAGCAGATGAACAGTGGCTGCCGAGGTCAGCAGGCAAAACTTGCCCTGCAGAGAAAGCGTGCGCTCTGCCGAGGACGCTAGCAGCTGCCCCGTCCAGGGGAGGGCGAGAAATGCCCCAGAGCGGTTCTGCCGGCCTGGGGCCCAGCGAGTGCGTGGGACCTCACTGTGTTTCAGGCACGAGGAGCTTGAGCGCGTGGCCAGGGAACGGGAGGCGGTGCTGGCGGCAGCGAACGGCGCCCACGTGGAGCAGCTGCAGGCGCTGGAGGCCAGGGCTCTGGAGCTGCAGGCGCAGTGTGAGACCCTTGAGCTGCAGCTTCGCAGGACGCAGTGGAGGCAAGGGGACGCCCTGAAGGAGAAGGACGCTGTCATCTACAAGTGAGCGGGCGGGGGCCGGGCTGCTGCTTCCACACACTTCAGATAAAGGGCGTGGGCGCCGGGGCAGAGCTCTCTCAAGCTCACTGGCCATTTTTTTTAACCGTTTTTTTTTTTTTTATCCTTTATCATTTCTGAAATTGGGTAGTTAGTATATGTGTGTATATGTGTGTATATGTATGAATGTATGTACTTTTAATTTCTGGTAACATGTATGTAATATAAAATTGGCCATTTTAACCATTTTTCAGCACCACCTCAGTGACATCAACCACAGTCACTTTGGTTTGCAACCATCACCACCTCTGTCTCCAGGATTCTCTCCATCTTGTAACATGGAAATGTTGATGCCCTGTCCCGCCCAGCCCCCAGGGATGTGCCATCCTCCTTCCTTTATATGACTTTGACACCCCTAGGGACCTCATGTCCCTATTGAGGCTGAATAATATTCTGTTGGACGGACCACTTTATCCATCTGTCGCTGGACACCTGGGTTGCTCCCACCTTTTGGCTGTTTTGAATAGCACCTCTGTGTATGTGGGTGTGTGCATATCTGTTTGGGTCTCCTTTTTCAGTTTTTTTTGGGTATACCCAGAAGGGGAGTTCCTGAATCATGTGGTTAATTCTGTGTTTAACTTTTTGAGGAACTGCCACTGTTTTCCAGAGCATATGAACCATTTTGCATAAAGTTTGCAATTTCTCCATTAACTAGTTTCTTTTTTTTTTTTTTTTTTGACAAATACCATATGATTTTACTTATATGTGGAATCTAAAAACAAAAAGAACAAAACAGCAGTAGGTTTATAGACACTGAGAAGTGACTGGTGGTTACCATGGGGGAGGGATTGGGGCAGGTCAGTGGGAGGCAGATAAAGAGGCACAAAAATCTCAATCATAATATAAGTTGCTTACAGGGATGTAAGTGCAGCACAGAGAATATAGTCAATGATTCTGTCACATCTTCCTATGTTGACAGATAGTTGGGGTGAGGATTTAATGATGTGGGTAACTGTTGTATAACTGTGTGGTATCCCTGAAACCAATATAATATTGTATATCAAACTAGTTTCTTTTTAAACCCAGTTCTCATTGAGCATCTGAGCCAGGCTATGACCTGAAAGTAGCTGTGTCCCAGTGCACCCAGCGTCTAGGGAGAAATGCATGCACATGGAACCACTGTGACTGAAGTCGTCACTCAGCCGCAGTGTCCTGACTGCCAGCGAGGAAGCGGCCCCAGAGGCGCTGTGTTTACTGGGGACAAGCAGACAATTTAATAAGTCGCTCGCTAGTGTTTGCCATGCTCAGCAACTGGCCTCTCCCTTTGCTTGGGAAATAGTTGTCCTTTTTTTTTTTTTTTAACAGAATTCTCTGCCAAATTGTGTTTCTACTTAGGGGATAATGGCTCTTGCAACCATAAATTACCAGGAAGTTAAAGCTTATTCAGGATAGTTTCCTTGGATTTGACATATTATTCTATTGTTTGATCTATTAAATGCAAGCAACGGCAGTTAGAGAAGCGGAAGAGACTAAATCTAAAGGAGGTGTGTTCCCCCCGGGCTTTCCTCTACCCGGGAAGGCTCTCCCCGGGCCCTGCTCACAGTCCAGTTGTGGTTGTGTGGAAGCCCTGGGCCAACCCCCTTCTACCTGTGTGCACCTCGCGGCACATCGGTCTTGGCATTCCTTCCGGCTCTTCCATGTGGCCTGCCAGGTGGGCCTTGGCCAGCCAGCGGGAGTGCTCAGGCCGCCGGGGCGACCCAGTGCCCTGTGTTCCCGGGACAGAGCCTTACTCTCTGGGTAAGAGGGCCACATTCTCATTTAAAAATGAGTAACAAAAACAGCCCACGTTTTGAGCTTGCTGTCTCATCGGGCCTATTTGTGATGACTCCCCTGAGAGCATCAGTTGTGAATGCCCCAGGTGAGAACCAATGACTCCGAGAGGGCTTTGTGTCCTGTGCGGCCACATAGCCTGTGACACATGACGGGGCCACACCGACGCTTCAGCTTTCTGGTCCCGCAGGTAAAACAAATAGGGGAGCTCCAGTAGCACATTTTATTTGACCTAGTATTTCAAAATGTTATGTTGCATATCCTTACAAGTCATCAATATAAAAAGTTAATAAAAAAGGATAAACTTGCCTGGTAAAATTATTGCTGGGATATTTAGCAATTTTTTTTTGGTGCTGAGTTTTGAAGCCACGTCTCAGTTCAGACTGGCCACACACATAGGAGCCACGTGTGGCCCGTGGCCCACGCTGGGCAGCACAGGTCTGAACGGCTGACTGCAGCGGTGCTCTCCACGGCACTGGTCTGACGGTGCCAGGCTGGTCTTGGCAGATTGGAGCCATAACCAGGACCACATTCAGAAATAGGTGCAAAGCCCTTGCTGTGTGCAGATCATTTCGTAGGTTCTTGTCGAAAACTGAGAAGAAATGATTTGGTTCTTTAATTGCAGCTTCTCTTACAGCTGGGGAGACCCAACACACCCGTGGAGTCATGCAGGGGCAGTATCGAGGTGCCCGGAGTGGGACATGCTGCCTGACGCTGTTTGAGGCCTGGGCACTTGACTTACCAGGGCTGCCAGCTGCGCCCCTTTCCCACCTGGAAAATCAGACAGGCCTCAGCTATGAATCGCCTCTCGGCTTGGTCCCTTGCCTCCTGGAACGGGGCTGTCGGCAAATGGGGAAAGAGGAAGGCTGTACTCGGGAAGTCCAGCTCAGGGCTCACAGGGTGTGTGTCTGTTCCGGGCAGGAGGGTGTGTAGCTGGAGAAGATGGTTTATGATTTCTCTCCATCACACTGGACACAGTGTGCTTGGGGCTCTGGGCTGAGTGTCTGGCGAGGCACAGCCAGGTGGAAGCCCCCACACACCCACCCTGCTTCCTCACCCGACCGCCGTGGGTGGCAGCATGTGGGTGCCCTCCCCCGAGAGGCGCCGGGTGGCCCTGGGATGAGCAGCTCCTGCTGTTCCTGGTACCAGAACTAACCCAGCTGCAAGGGACCTGAAGTTTCCAACTCTTTGCCACCCTGTGTGATACTAGAATGAGCTGTTTTGTTTAGGCAAGGGGTCAATATGAGTTTGACAGATTGTTCTAGAAATGATCTGCTTAAATTATATGAAGAAAAATGATCTTCCTGTGGTGGTTAAGAATAATGTCGGAAATTCTATGCTTGACAGACTGTCTTACTCCTTTTAGAATGTCTGTGACACCAGATTTATTACCTGCTGTGTGCAGGTGGATTCAGAGAGGGCGCCTTTTCCCAGGTCAGCAGGAGAGCCCTGAGGACCTCAGTGTTGCCTGAGCAGCACCCCCTCCTCTGGAGGTGGGGGCTCTGTGCACTTCCTGTACTGATCCCCCTTCATGCCCACCTCACTCTTTAAAGTGTTTTCCCCACTTGGTTTCACAGCAGCCCTTTCTGAGCAGAGAAGACTTTTTCCTCTGTTTGATAATAATCCTGGCTTAACTGGGACTGAGGCTGTGGGACCCGAGCAAGCCCCTGCCCAGCACAGCAGGGTCTGCCCGTGAGCAGGTAGGTGCGTCTGTGCTGGGCGTGCCAGGGCTCGGGGGCCGGAGAGAGTGAGGAGCATGCGGTTTCTCGGCAGGGACACAGACCTGGGGGAAGCTGGCAGCAGCAGGAAGAACCGAACAGAGCCCCCTGCAGTGTCCGGGGCCCTCTGCCAAGGGCATCCGACCTTGATGTCGAGGCCAGCCGGTTAAAGCTGAAATGTTCACAGAAGTTTTCCCTGTCTGGGAAATCGTCCCTTCTCCTCCCTGTCTTCATGTTTGGGTGGAGTTTTGTCTGGGCCTCAGTGCACCTGAACCTGGGGCTCTCATTAAAGGTCCTGTCAGCTGATGGCCATTTGCCTTCCCATAGCTTGTCCACGGTCCACAGAGCATGCTGTGGCCCACCCGTGGGCCCGTGGCAGTGAGCAGGGGCCAGTACATGACCACCAGCACCCTCTCCACAGCTCACTGAGTGCAGCTTAGGGAGGAAAAGGGCAAATAGGAACATGCAGAGCCTTTGCGAGGTCAATACACCGGCTTCCCTAGTTGGTGTCGCTTGGTGTCTTCTCTGAAGTTTTTCTTGGGAAGTTTATCCAATTTTAGGTGATTCTACCAGGGAACTTAAGGGTTTCTACAGAACCTCATCTTACTATTCAGTTTGAAAATATGTGTTGAATGTGTCCTCGGCAAGGTGTTCTGTGGAGCTTGGGAGGAGCTCCATGGCAAGTCAGGTGCACGTGCTCAGGGGGCAGGCCGTGGTCCACTGGGCCCGCACACCACCTGGGCTGGCCACCTGGGTGGGTGGCTGTTTCTCACTGGGCAGCACCGTTTCCTGATCTGGGCAGGGCACTCTCTGTCCTGTGCGGAGACATAAGCGAGGAAGGACACCCATCTGTAGTGTTCCTTCCGAGGCCATGCACGTGTATGAGTGTGCGTGTATTTGTGGGGAGCACGTGTATGAGTGTCGTGCATTTGTGGGGACCCCATGTAGAAGGAAGCGCGAGTGAGTGAGAGCCACGTCCACGTTCACAGAGCTCCCCTTCTGTGTCTAGACTTCAGGAAGATGCGTCGACTCTAAAATCCAGCCAGGACGCCCAGATCGCTCGACTCTCCAAGGAGATGGTCTCCAAAGACCTTCAGATTCAGTCTCTGCAGAAAGAAGAGGTGACACTCAAGGCACAGCTGGCCAGATGCCATCAGGACATTGGAAGGTGACTGTCCCCAAGGCAGATCTGTCCACTGAGTTCCTCCTAGGGGCTAGGAGCTGTTCTAGGTGCTAAGGGTACGAAACAGAACAGAATCAAGTCCCTGGCCTCACATCCTATTGGGGAGAAAGACAAAAAAATGGGAAACACAAATAGAGCGTCTGAGGTTCTGAGGAGGGAAAAGTAAGCAGACGGGGCAAACGGAAAGGGTGGCTGGAGAAGGTCTTTCGCATGGAGGGTGGTTTTTGGTCTATAACAAGGGCCACGGAAGTGTGCTGCTTGAGCCTTTGTGAAGAGTCAGCTCTCCATGTCTTCCGGTAGTTAATGTCCCAGTGTCTTTCCTTAGCAGTTGGAACGAACACTGAGTAAAGACAAATGTTCATTCTCTTTCTTGAGAAGTAATTGAAATACAAAAAATTGCACCCATTTTCAGTGCACAGTTGATGAATCCTGACACGTGTGACCACCTGTGCCATAGGAGGGGACACCTTCCCACCACCCAGAGCCGCCCAGACCCCTGCATCTGCCTGTCGCCTACAGGCCGCTCCGGCCCCTGGGCTGGGCTGGCCTGAGCACGAGTTCCATCCGAGTGGAATCATGCCATATATGCGCTTTTACATTTGGCTTCTTTGGGTATTTATTTGAATATTCAGGTTTTCTGTTTTTTTTCTGAATCAGTTTTGATAATTTGTGTCTTTCAATTTGTCCATTTCATTTAATTGTTGGCTGTATTGGTATAAAACTGCTTATAGTATTTTATTGTCCTTCTAGTATGTACAGAGTCTGGAGTGATGTCCTGTCTTCCACTCTCGATGTTGGTCATTTGCATTTTCTCTCTCTTTTCCCTGATCAGTCTGGCTAGAGTTTTACCAATTTTCCAGATCTTTTCAAAGAACCAGCTTTTGGTGTCACTGATCTTCCTCAGTTTCCCTGTTCCCGTTTCAGTGGTGTCTGCTGTTATCAATCTCTTCTGTGTCCTTTGGCTTCAACTTGTTCTTTTGAGAGCTCACAAGGTGGCATCTTGGATGATTAATTTTTGGCCACCCCTCTTTCCTAAGAAATATAAACATTTAATGCCACAGATTTCCTTTCCAGCACCGTTTAACTGGGTCTCACACACTTTTCTGTTATTCAATTTAGTGTGATTTTCTCCTTTGACCCAGGGGTTATTCAGAAGCACGTTGCGTAGTTTCCTGTTGGTCTGAGGTCTCCAGATGCCATTTTGCCAGTGGTTTCTGATTTGACCCTGCTGTGGACAGAGAGCGTGCTCTGCGCGACTCTAGTTCCTCTGCACTCATTTGTTTTGTGACTTGGGAATGTGTCCCATCTCGGTGGCTCTCTGTGCGGACTTGGAGAGTGTCCTCCCCTTGGGCTCGGGCGGCGGACGGGCAACGTGCTTGCCCGCCGTGTCCCTGTGAGTTTCTGTCTGTCTGCTCCACCGGTTTCTGAGAGAGGCCCTGGGGTCCGCAGTCTTTCAGTTCTAATGGTGCAAACGTTATGAATCGTGAGTCTTGTATCAAGTGCATTTCACATCGTCTTGGCTTCCTGATGAGTCGCCCGTGGCTGGTAGGAGACAGACCTCTTTGTTCCTGCTGCCACTCCCCGCGCCCCAGTCCCGAGTGTGACGTCAGGGAAGCCACCTTACTTGCTCGTGCTCGTGTTTGCGCGGCACGTCTTCCCACCCCTCTCCTCGGACGTGGGCTTTGTCGGAAGAGCATTTCTTACTGGGAGCACACGGCTGCATCTTGCTTTTCTTAATCTCACATGACAACCTCTGCCTGTTGGAATGTTCAGATACTTAATTTAATGCTATTATTGATATGTTTGTGTTTAAATGTCCCACTTGCTGTTAGTTTTCTATTTTTTTCATGTTTTTTACTTCTTATTTTTTCTGCCATTTAAAAAAACGAATTGCATATTTTTAAGACTCCATTTTATTTTCACTGTCTTATATAAACCTCTCTGTTTTATTATTTAATAGTCGTTCTAAGATCTACAGTATACAGTTTACCTTTAAATAAAATTTACCTCTTCATGTGTGATATGGAATCGTGATGACCCCCTATTTCTTCCTTCCCCCTTTTTACTGCTATTGTATTTTTCACTTTTATATACAGATAGTCACATGGGTATTGCTATCGGTTTTGCTTTGCTCAGACAACAGTCCTTTAATCAAAAACTTAAAAATGAGAACAAAACCTTCACACGTCTTCCAGTATTCATCTCTGATGCCCCTCCTGTCGACCCCCAGAACACCCCTGCGCGCCTTGCTGTGTGCTCCGCCGCTCGCGGACTGTCTCCCCTTCTGCCCGGAACCTCCTGCTTCTATGTCCTGAGGCACGTTCTCGCCGGCTGGGGGCTCCCGGTGGCCGTGGCCCCACAGCCATCACTGGTGTCCCGCCGTCCTCTGCTGCCGGCACCTCTTGGGAGGCCCTGCAGGACTGCGTGCCCGCCTTTCCCCCACTTCTGTGGTTTCTCTCTTATCATTGGTGTGCAGTGACTCACCATGTGTGATTTCATGTATCTTGGTGAGGTTTTGTGGGTGTGTTTATCCTGTCACCGGCTTTACAGATCCTTTTCTGCCCCCCTTTCTTCTGGGACTGCCAAGTACTTACATGTTCGGCCACATGGTGATGCCAAGCCAGCAGCCTGCTCTGTGCAGTGTCTGATCTCCTGGTCAGGTGGCGAGTGTCATTCTCGGCAGTGTAGTTCCCATGTCCCCATCTGTACACGGCCACCATGAATCCCCGAATACATTTGTCCTGGCCATCGTAACACATTTGTCTGCTGATTCTGTCCCTGCTTATCTCTGACGTGTCCTGCTGCCTGGCAGCTCTGTCAGGTGTCAGACGTGTGGCTGTTGGCTGACAAGCGTCTGGGCTTTGTTTTGCCTTCCTTTCTCGTGTGCCGCCTTCGTTCCGGCTGTGGACAGTGCCTCGTGGCGCCTGGGGCTTGTTGCGGACCTCGGGCAGGGCGGGCCCCGGGCCACCTCTTCACCAGGGCCGGTTTGGCTCTCTGCTCCAGTGTCACCCCCAGGGGTCCCCACTGGGTGCCGTGTTGACTGGTCCCGGGGACGCTCCCCTGGCTGTGGGAGCCGGAGTGGCCCCCCAGTTCCTCCCGCCGGCCCGTCGCACCCCTGGGTGCTGGCAGTCAGAGCCTCGAGGGGACCCCTCCGGTGCCTCCTCCTCTTGGTGCTCCGCCCCATGAAGTCCCGCGGGCCGTTCTGCCTCCCCGGCCAGATCTTTGTCTCTGCAACGCAGCAAGGCCACCGTGCTCCGCTGGGCCTGCGCTCCCCTGCAGGGGTCCAGAAGGTGCCGGAGGGGAGAGCCGGCAGTGGCTGGCTCCCTCTCCCTCCTGAGTCTCGCCTCTGGGGCTGCTGTGCTGCCCCGCTTGTTGTCCGTGTCTTTGTCCAGCGTCTGGTTTACAGCGGGAGCCAATCCCGGCGACAGTCGCTCCGTCATGGCCACCAAATGGTATCTTAGAGATTTATTTATATTTTGCATTTACAGAGATAAAAAAATCTCTACATAGCTGTATTAGACCTTTTTTTTTAGATCTACTTTTGTTACTGTTTATTAGGTCCACATTTTTCATCCCTCCTTCCTTCTTCTGCTTCCTGTTTCCATTGCCAACCGAAATATAGATTAATGCTTGACCCAGGAGTGACCCATCCTGGCCTTTGTCCCTCTCAGCATGAAGAGGGCACAGCTCAGTCCTGGCCAGTGTGAACAAAGCTTGCTGCTTGTGGTCATCACAGGACCCAGGATGAGCCAGGAGAGGAACCAGAGTGGAGACACAGCCAGGAAGGGCCCTGCGGCCACGACTGCCCAAGGCAGCGTTTTGTGTTGAGCCAGTATTCTGTGAATGTCAGCGACAAAGGCTTACTTTGTTTAAAAACCAACAGCTTAAATTAACTGAAGAGTTCATCCCTGAAAGTGGCTTCTATTAACTATTTCCTTTGCACCAAAGCAAGACCCTGTTCCTGATACTGGCCCGGAGTTTGCAGACGGTGTCCCTTTCTGCATCTGGGCCCTCCCATGGTGTCTCCATTGTCCTCTTCCCTTAGCATCATCTGTTGCTGGGGCCCCTACAGCCTCTGCTCCAAGCTGGGTGTGTTCCTGCTCCGGGGACACAAGTACGGAGAGAGCAGGTGTTCAGGAACTTTTTATAGCAGTTGCGTTTACAAAAGTATTGGTCCTCAGTGGCCAGGGCATTTCAGCACCAAGGGACTGGTCTTCCAGCGCAGCCTGAGAAGCGCGCTTCTTCTGCGCCCTCTCATGGCTCCTCTTCAGGAGGGCTGCATCCCCAGGTGATAAGCTTTGAGCCTTCATGTCTTCACCTGTCTTCATTTCTGCCTCCTGGTATGAATGCTCATTTAGCTGGATTCAGGATACTAGGTTCCGGATCTTGTTCCCTCTGGATTTCAAACCCACTGGGTGCTACTTTAATTATTATCGCCCTGGAACAAATCGCTGCAAACTCAGCAGCTCTAACAACCCACACCCTTTCCTCGCCTCGGTGTCTGTGCCAGGAGGCTGGGCATGGCCGACAGGGTCCCTGCTGGGCTCTCACTGGGCTTGAATCAAGGTGCCGGCGGGGCTGCCCTCCCTTCCGAGGCTTATTCAGGTCTCCTCCAGCCACAGCCGCTGTGGGGCTGAGGTCTCCTTGCTGGCCTTCCATGGCATCACGGTCAGTCCTAGAGGCGCCCGGGGGCCTGGCCATGAGGCCCTCACCTCCCGGCAGCTACTTCCTCAAGGTCGGCAAGAGCATCTCCCTCCCCAGGGGCAGGATGGAGTCTTAGACAGTCACCCAAGCACGGGAGTGACCGCATCCTGTTCACAGCCCGCCCTCGCCCGGGAGAGGCCGTTCAGAGACCCTGCCTGCAGTTGCTCCGCGTGGCTGAGGGTGGCTGTCGAGAACCTCCATGCCAGTCTCGTGTCCGTTCCCTCTCTCACCTGTCAGTGTTTCTCCTGCCCTGGCGCTCTGCCCTTTCCCCACCCGGTGTCTGGGGGGTGGTCTGGAAGGCCCACCCCTCTGGGGCTTTCAGTCCGAGGGCACCCACCTCCCCAGCGGTGCTGGACTTTCCCTGTTACCCTCTCAGTCACCTCCACCCTCTGCCCTGATGGCAGCCTTCCCGAGCTTCTGCCCGGCCCCGCCCACCGTGCTCTGGGGTCTGCTGCCCTCAAGCTGTCCGGGGGTTTGCTTGCTGCAGCTGTGAAACCCTCTCATTTCTCTAGTGCAACCATTTTTTCTTACTTTTTTCAAGTTTGTTGGCTTTCTTCCCTTCTTTCCTTACAAATTTGTGCCCCTGTTTCTTGAGTTAGATCTTCTCACGGTGCTGGGTTTTCTCAGTGTTGGGAGATCCCTGGCCAACTGCATATCCCTGAACCTGCACCTGCCCGCAGGCTCTCCCCTGGCTGCCAGCCCGTGTTGCATGCCAGCGAGCACACAGGAACAGGGGCCGGCCTGGAGGGCCAGGAGGAACATGGCTGCAGCTCGGCCGTGCCCTTCGTCTTGCCCGTGGGATGTGCCCAGAGGGACCTCAGGAAAGCCTGACGAGCAGCTGGTTTTGACCCCTTGCAGGTATCAACAGCAGCTGTCTCTGGCAGTGGAGAGGGAGCAGACCCTGGGGCGCGAGAAGGTGCAGCTGGGCCTAGACTGGCAGCGCCGCTGTGACAGCATCGAGCAGAGCCACTGCCAGAGGTCCGAGGACCTGATCCAGGGGCTGATCACAGCGAGAGAGCAGGTCTGTGCCCCCCCACGTCACGCACCCCCTCTGACTCCTGCAGGAGGTGAGCACCATGGAGGCCGCGTTCGGGCTCTCCCCAGGTCATCCTTTAAATCTGGAAACAGCCTTACTAAGCAGTCTGACTTACAGCAACAAAAATTACAGCCCTCTGTCCCTGCCCTGCTCCCCAGCTTTGCGGTGTTTTCCTCACTGGCCACTGCAACAGGCCAGTGCTGGATGAGTCCCCCTCCTGCAAGGGCACAGCCTAGGACCGGGAGGCCCACCTGGCCGCAGCAGGAGCGCCCCGGCCACCCTGCCACCCTGCCACCCTGCCGCTCTGATCACAAGGGGCCTCTGTGGCTCCCTGCCCTCTGCTGTTTGCTTCCCAGAAAGGGGTGGGAAGTGCTCTCACCCTGAGGGCTGGCACTGCTCCCAAGGCAAACTGAGCCCCTGCATTTTCCCCAGGTTGCTGCCAAGCTCCAGAAGACAGAGCAGATGCTGTGTGACCAGGAGGTGGTGCTGAAGGCCTTGACCCTGGAGAGAGACCAGGCCGTGCAGGCCCTGAGGACACGAGGGCTAGTCCCCGAGGAGGAGGTGCAGGTTTGCGTAGGGGCCGCCCTCCTGTCTGAGCCTCCCCTGCCGGCGCTCGCTCTGGCCCAGGAGTGCCCACTGCCCAGCTTTCTCTGCACCTCCTCTGAGCAGTGGCAGTGGGGAGTGATGCCAAATAGAATCGAAACAGGGCTTTTCAGCTGTGTTCCTTTCCAAACAACTGTTTGCACAAACAGTGCATCTGAATACTTTAAAGAGTTAAAGTGAATCTGTACTCAGAATCTCCTTTGTATCTTCAGCATTTGAAATCTCTAAAGACCCAGAGTGATGTATCAGGCGTGGCAGACGATCAGTGTAAGTGTTGCGTGTCTGCCCCCAGAGCTTCGCGGCCGGCCTCCCGTGCTGGGGCCCCGTCTCCCTAGCCCCTGCCGTGGTCTGGCACTGATGCCCCTAGCTAGTAATGTCGAGGCTCCCCTGCACCCAGGTCTGCCCTGAAGCGTCATACCTGCGATCTCTTCACATCTCTGATGCTACGGTGGTGCCAGGCAGCCGAGGCACAGAGGCCCTAAGGAGCCAGCCTGAGCTGGGGTCTGAGCCAGACGGGCAGAGGGCTGACTGGTGAGGATTGTTCTAGGCCTGTGGATGGTCTTATTTTGCCCTGCAGTTTTTTAGTTTGTTTTTTAAAACGGGGTGTGCTTACCTGCAGTGAAATGCATGGGTCATGAGTGTACAAGTCAGTGGGTTTGGCGTGGGTGTGCCTGTGGCCCAAGCCTCTGACAAGATCCAGAGCATCCCCATCCCCCCGGGAAGCCCCGGTGCCCTCCTGTGGGCCCCCACCCCCAGAGGCAGTTCCTCTTCTGATTTCTCTCCCCAGGGATTCATCTCTCTGCCCGGGGCTTGTCAGGGGGACCCAGGAGGCAAGATTTCCTCCAAGGTGCTGCGTGGCCACGCCCCAGCAGACGCAGACGCTCACCAGTGTTCCGAAGGTTCATGACTTTCCTTCACTCGGTCAGTTGGTCTGACACCCACCCCCTGACACATACACAGGGACCAGGAACACTGTGTCATCTTCTAAGAATTTCAAGTTCTAGTGCAGAGGCTGTCGACATTTGATGAATCTGTCTAGTTATTCGTGAGACTCGTCAGACACAGGATTCGTTGTCTGTGTGCACAGCTGGGCAGGAGCCGCAGCCTCGTGGAGGTGGCGCATGTGAGCGTGGAGGCTCCCTCCAGCTGCAGCAGCACGGGTAGTGGAGGCTCCAGGGAGGGGCCACGGGTGGTGGGGACAGCAGCGCCCTGCCTGCCATGCCACTGGCCAGAGACCTCCTCACCTGCAGAGGTGGGACTGCTTCCTCCCTGCTCACGTTGTTGGCTTGTGGCACTGATTTTGGAAAATTCAGTGTCCCATCAAGTGTTCAGAAGGGGATCCCAGGGCACAGCAACGGGCCCTTCATAACAAGGGCCGGGGTCTCCCCAGCCATGAAGAGGCTGGGAGGTTGGAACTTTATCCCAAAGACAAGCTTCTTCACCTGTGGTGGCCGCTCTTGTCCCCACAGAACCCCTCGCCGACGCTTACCTGGCCAGAGCCTGATACTGGCTGTGAGATGCCAGCGGGTTGAATGGTGGCCCCCAAAAGATGTGTGGAAGCCCTAGCCCTCAGTACCTCAGGATGCGACCTTACAGGCATAACTAGCTGAGAGGAGGTCACTCTGCAGTAGGGTGGGCCCCTGATCAATGTGGCTGGTGTCCTTGTGGAGGCCATGCAATGACGGACAGGGCAGAGATGGGGTGAGGCACCTAAGGGCCCAGGGACACCACGGAGCACCATAAACACCAGAGGCTGGGAGGGGCAGTAAGGGGCCAGGCTCACATGCCTGAGGCCGGCCTCACAGCCAGTCCCGGCACATTGTGGGCATCACCTCAGGGTCCCCATCCACCCAGGGACTCTGAGAGAAGCTGCTGCCAGGCTGCTATGAAATCCAGGCACCCGCAGGGAGAGGCGCTTCCAGAGCAGTGCCGGGTTGGTCAGCCTGACCCGTCTCATACGCCCTTCTTGGGTCAAGGGCCCCAGTTTTCAGCAGTCTGACCTCTGTCCCTTTATGAAAAGGCACTCACCCAGGATGCAAGGGAATGGAGCCACTAAAGTCCTCAGGAGAACCTCTGGGGGTGGCAGCCACCCCCTCAAGCCCTACTTCCCCAGTGTGCACGCCAGCTGTGTTTCCTGGGGGGGTGGTGCACATTACATGTGTCTTTGCTGGGTGTGACCTGTGCTCACGGTACAGTGACAGGCAGCCCTGGGGCCTCCGGCTGCGGCCTCTGTGGCTGGTGCTCACCCTGTAGTTGGCGTTTTAGGTGGACCAAGGTGTGCAGGGGCTGAGCATCTGGAATTGACCTGGAATTTACCCGAAGAAGGTTGTATCAGGCAGCTGTGCTGAGAAAACACTCCACCCCTGTGAGCGCATGCGGCAGAGACGGACCCTGGACCCCACTCAGACCTGCGGCCACGTGCCCGGGGGGTGAGCTCCAGAAGGTGTGTCTGTCAACAAGCCCTCCGTGTGGCCGGTCTTGGGGGCGGGCCCTGGTGTGAGAGATGCACTCCTTGAGGGGTCCGGGCAGGAGAGGCTGGCCTGGCCTCTGGGACTGCCTGTGGCCCCTGGGCGCTCACAACCCGGTCGCACAGAAAACAAATACTGCTTTTGTTGTCAGTGTTCCCACTCCCAAGTTTTTCTTTGTTGTATTTTCCCCCCGGCTGGCAGGTAGAGGGGGACCTTTGTCAAAGCATCAGTTCAACTTGCGGGGTGGTGGTAAGGAAACGAAGAACCTTAGAAATGGTCTGGGTGTCAGGAACATCAGTGCCCCGCACGCCATGGAGAACCAGGGGATGCGCCCCTTCGACCTTGCACAGAGGGGGCTTCGCCAGGACCCTGGACAGAGGTGAAGAAGTGGGACGCAGTAGCCCCACGTGGAGGCTGTGTGCTGGCCTTGATGGGGGAGATGTGGCCACAGAGCCAGGACCTGGGTTGGTGGCACTGTGCCCATTGCTAGCTGACACGATGGAATGAAGTTTTGAGTTGAATCTTGCAGGTAATACCTGCCCTTCCGACCTCACAGGGCACTGGTGACTTAATGGACCAACAGATTGACCACCTGGGGAAAGTGTAGCTTCCACTTGGCAGTGCGCTTGCCTGGCTCCGGGGCTGTGGGCCCCATCGGCAAATCCTAGGGAGCAGTGGGGGTCTGTTTGTAAGTGGAGGCGGAGAGCAGCTGCTGAGGGAGGGCGAGCTGGCGCGGACTTCCACTGTGTGGGTGGCTGCCTCCTGGCTGTGTGCCAGCAGCTTCCTCCTACTGGCCTGCTTGGCACACAGGTACCAGCACGGAGCCTCAGCAGGGGCTGCGCTGGTCACCCTGGTGCAGGCCCTCCCAGTACTGGTGCGGGGAGAGCATGCGGCCTGAGCCACCGATGCTTTGTCGGGATGCCATGCTATAGATGTGATGGTGGCACCTGGGGCTGGCCAGTGGATCCTGTCACCCCACGTCACAGAGGAAGAAGCTGAGATCCCACGTGGCAGGGGGAGAGTTTGAGTGGGGTCAGGCCAGCCATGGGCCCCTGGCTACACTGCCGTTCTGCCTGTGAGGAGAGGGTGGGGACTTTGGGGCAGGCATGAGAAGGGGGGGTGGAGTGCTGGCAGAGACGAGCTGCCCCCCCGTGGGCAGTGTCACCCTGTGGTGAGCGGCGGGGACTGAGCTGTGGGCTGGAAGGTGGAGCTGGTGTTCAGCAGGGCAGTGGCGGCCTGACGGAGGCCTTGGAAAGCCGGGTACTGCGAGCGGGAGGAAAGATGGCTTGTGCTGGAGAAGCGATGTGTGGCCACCGCAGGGTGGTAAAGTGGTCCTGGAGCCAGGCTGACATCAGGTCACCCTCCTTCCAGGCCACTGCCCTCCTGGACACCAGTGTGCTGGCGTTGGGGGCAGATGTGAAGGAGGGGAAGCCGGTACTTAGTGCCAGCGAACACTGGCGAAGGGCTGGGTTCTGGTCGGGCTTAGCCACAGGCACTGAGCCAGCCTGGGCCCACAGTGTCCGTGCCCTTCTCTCGGGTGTCCCCGTTCTGTGTGGCCTTGTCTGAAGACCCTTATTTCCTAGATTTGTCTGAGTTTCTGGTTGGTTACAGCCAGAGGGCAAGTCCCGTGGCCGGGCATTCTCTGTGGTCTGCGGCAGGCCTCTCCCGCTGCCATTTTGGGGGCGCCTTCACCCACTGCAGGGTTCGGGGAGTTTTCTGTCCACATGTCACTGTTCTCTGCCTTCCCTGCCTCAGTGGTTCTCATGAGAAATCGGTCCCGCCAGCGCCTGCACCGGTGCGCTGGGCCCTGTTCATCACCCGCGTTGAGGTCTCTCCTCGCTGGTTTGTGGTGCCCGACAGTGAAGTGCCCTTCAGGGTGCTTTTCTCTGTGATTGTCCTGCTTTGGGTCTGTTGGACTGCTTGAGTCTGTGGACTTCAGTTTTCACCCGGTCTGAAAATCTCTTGGCCAGCACGTTATCAGCGAGACACTGCTCCTCGCCCTCATCCGTCTGCTCGCGCGTGAGGCTGCCGCTCGCCACCCCGTGGGCCGGGAGGCCTGCTCATCCCTGCTCTGCCTTCCCGGCTGTGCCCAGGCCCGCGGGCTCCCGCTGCCGCCACATGCGCTTCCCGGCCTTTCCTCCCACAGTGTATCTGCTCCGCCCTTACTCCCATCCTACCTGGCGAATTTTTTATTTCAGATAATGTGTTTTTCATCTCTGTAGATGCTAATTGGTTCTTTTAAAAGTGTCTTCCATGTCTCTCTATGTTCATGTTTTTATTTAAGTCCTTGAGCATTTTTATAATGATAACTGCCTTAAAACCCTAAGCCGTCACTTAGCACGAAGTTTTCCTTGTTCTCCCGTGTCGCAGCGTATACCAAGACCTGGTTCCTTTTTATGGTGGAATAATATTCTCTTGTATTGTGTTTTACCCATCCATCCGTCAGTGGGCATTTGAGTGTTTCCAGTTTGGCCACAACAGACAACGCCGCTGTGACCTTGCACAGGTCTCCGTGTGGCAGACTTTCCAGTTCTCTCGGGCGCACCCCTGGGAGTGGGGCTGCTGGGTCATACGCAGCTCTGCGCCTCACTTTTTGAGGGCCTGCCAGACTATTTCCAGCAGCTGCGTCCTCTTACACGGCCCAACAGCTGCACACATGCACCCTGTACAACGCGCAGGGGCTCTCCTGGCTCTGCATCCTCGGCAGCACTTGCTATTATCTGCACTTTTTATTTTAGCCCCCCTAGTGGGTGACTGCTGGCTTTTTGACTGAAAAGGAAGGGTCCCCACATTTCTCAAAAAAGTCACCTTCAAAAAAGAGCAGTCTTGTCATCGTGAAACCTAGAAGAAAGAGATTTTGCATACTTCTGTCGGTTTAGAAAGGAAGGTCACCGTGTGCCTTGAGGATGGATGGCGGAGAGCAGGGACAGAGGGCGGGAAGGCCCTGGGGGCGCAGAGCGGCCTGGGGGGGGCATGGGGGCTGTGCGCTCCGTCTGTGGCTGTCAGCGTCCCTTGTGTTCTGGTTCTGACAGTGGCTGCTAAGGCGTCAAGAAGACGTGACCGAAAGGCCCCCACCTAGTGAGGTGCAGAGGCTGCAGGAGCAGAACGCGAGCCTACGGGAGGCCGTAGCGCGGATGCGGGAGGATATGGAGGCCCTGAGCGGTCGGCTCCTTCCTTCTGCCCTGTTAGGAGGAGAGGCTGCAGACAGCGGCCAGCGTGACCCCAAGGTGGCAGCAGATGCTGCCATTCCTGGTGAGCAAGGGGAGAGGGAGACCGGGACAGAGGGGGGCAGGGACAGAGGGGGGCGGAGGGAGATGGGGGTCAGGGGATGGAGGGACAGGAAGGACAAAGGCGGATCTCTCCTGGGTCCCAGAAGGTCTCACCTGGAGTCTTAAACAAACACCCTTTAATAAATGGCATCCACATATTAGAGCTGCTTTTCCTCCAAGAGAAGGGCCTCCAGTCAATTTTTATATACAAGGAAAACTTTTTCCTCTATGGAAGGCAGAGTGTGTGGGCAGCATGTGGCGCCCAGGCAGCAGAGGCTGAGGCCGGGGGTGCTGGGCTGAGTAGGGGGGCCACACCACCCACTGAGCCTCTATGGACCGTGGGGAAGCAGCTGGGTGCCCGTGCGTGAGGCCAGTGGGATCGGGGGGCACTGTCTGCTCCCAGTGTGGAAGTCCCTGGGAGAGCACCCTGGCTGGTGTCTGGACACTGTTTGGTGACCAAAGGGGAGTGGGGTTGACGGCACAGGGACGGCGGTGAGGGCAGGGCGGGGGGCAAGGGGGAGGGGTGGTGCAGCGGTGGTTCCAGGGGGGGACCCCTGCCTTGGTGATCAGGGGCGGGCATGTGGGCGTGTGTGCCTGGACGCACTTGTGTACTTACTGAGCTTTTTTGGGCAGATTATGTTCTGGTCCTTGAAGCAGAAATACTAAATCTAAAGGATAAATTTAAAACCCTGGAAGCACAACTAGATGTGTCAGGTCCCTCGAAGAGGTCCTCGTCTCACACTGATATTCAGCCCCGTTTTCCTCCCACAATGGAATCCGCAGGTAAGAGTCCCCGTCCCACTGTGTCATGGCCTCCATCCCAGTGACGCTCTTCCTTCAAGTCTGAAGAGCAGACCCTATAGAAAGTCCACTGAAGGCCAACGTGCAGTTCCGGAATGGCGCCAAATGCTGGGGGTCCTGTAACCAGGGCCCCGGGGCCGCCCGGGTGCGCCCAGAGCCAGTCACTGTCCTGACCCCTCACTGCTGTCCCATGGGATCACTGGGGAATGTTCTGCTGTCTGGCTTCTGTGTTCAGGTGGCAGCGCCAGCCTGTCCCCCAGGGTGCCGCCACCTTCCTGTGGTTGGTGTGCATCTCCTGGGGCAGGAAGGCTGAGTGCCCTCCTCCCTGGGCGTCAGGCAGCAGGCTGTGGGGCTGCCGCGGCACTGCCGCCCGGGCTGCTCCCCCTGTGTCCTCGCTGGGCCAGAGGCCTTCACCCCAAGCAGGCTCATGGCCCCGGTTTCTTTGTGCTCTCATTCTGGTTTCCTCCTTTTATTTACCACTTCCTGTTCCAACAGTGAGAAGCCTGGCTCCTGATGCCCTCCCCTGAGTAGCTCTGCCATCAGCTTGCTTGCATGCACGCCACCCTGCTCCGCCTGCCTGCCCTCCCCACGGGGCCTCTGCACCCTTCTGAGTGGGCACCTCCCTGGCCCTCACTGTGCTCTGACAGCCATGCCAGGCCGCCCTCCTGCAGACACCCCTTCGCCCCATGTTACATACACCCTGGGGTGGCCAGATGCAGGCCTGGGCACCTCTCCGTGCCATCCCCCAGTGGCTTCCAGGACCAACTGGAAGGAGCCTGGCAGGACGTCCTGTCTGCAGTCATCTCATCTCAGATAAGGGCAGCTTCGTGCTTCTCCAATGCTGATACCCTTTCTTTCTATTTTTGGCATGGCTTCCCATGGCTGGGGTCTCCCGCCTGATGTTGGTAATCGCCGGTTTTCTTCCTGACCCCAGAGAAAAACTCAGCATTTCACTTTTAAGTTGATAATTTACTGAAGGTTTTTGTTTTGCTCTGTTTTTCTTTTTTGTCAGATTAAGGAAGTTTCTTTCTACTCCCATGTAATACAAATTATTTTAATCATGATTCTGTCAGTTTTGCCTAATACATTTTGAAGCATTTAAGAGGAACATACATTTAGAATCGTCATGTTTTCTTAGTGGCTCGGCCTTTGGCTTCGCGCACACCCTCCTCCCCCTCAGTCAGCTCCCCTCTGTGTCCTGCTGTCTGGTGCTGCCCCAGCCGCCCCAACGTTACCTGGGTCAGCGTCTGCGTGCTGTGTCGTCCTAAGCCTTTTATTCTGAACCTGCCTCCGTCGTGTGTGAGGCGACTTCCTCGTAGATTTAGGTCAGTCTGCAACTCCTTTGTGCTGGTGTTTTTGGGCCATGTGTTTATAACATTTGCACCTGAGACGTTACTGCTGCTCAGGGTCTGAGCCAGCAGCTTAGTGCTGGGTTCTGTCCCCAAGTGTCTCTTGCCTGATTCCTGTGGGTTACCTGAACATTTTTTAGTGTTCCATACTCTTCTGTGGTTTTGAGTCTATTTCCTTGGGTGGTGTCCTGATGGTCGCTCCAGGGGTTGCAGTCCACCCATTTAACTTTGCACAGCACCTTGGCTGACATTTCACAGGCTCACTGGAGTATGGAAATCCCACTGGGTCAGGTGCCACCTCTCCACACACTGAGAGCCATGCAGATGGGACCATCACTTGCTTTCAAGTGTCAAGTGTAATTTTAACAACTCAGGAGGACAGGTGGAGTCTGTTACTCACCGGATGGCCCCCTCTCTGTGCGGCTCCTCCTAAATGCCGACACCCTGGCCCCCATTTGGAGCGCTTGCTCCAGGAGGACTCCCTCAGCCGGCTGCGGGGGCAGTGCCCCTCCGCTCCTGGGTCTGAGATGCCCTTCCTCCACCTCCCCTCCCCGAAGCAGACTGGCTGTGCATGCTACGTGTGGGACATGGCATGGAACACAGGCTGTATGAAATCATGGGCTGGCAGGTCTTTGCGATCTCAATGCTCAAAACGTATCACGCCGCCCCTGGTGAGAGACGGGGCGGCAGTTTGTGATGAGAAGCCCTTTGCGGTTTGCGTCTTGGTGGGCCACGCGCCATTTCCCTGCGCCTGCTTTCACGACTTTGTCTTCCGTCCCAGAAATCGCAGTATGACATCTGTGACTCTGAAAGATGTCTTTGGCTCACCCTGTTTGGTGCTGAATCTGAAGGTTTATGCCTTTTGCCAAATTTGAGAAGCTTTCAACCATTATTTTTTTTAGTGTTTTTCGGCCATGCGCTCACTTCCCTCTGGGGCGCCGCTGACGGAATGCTGGGTCCTCGCCCTCCCCCCGCGGCCGCGGGGGCTCAGCGGTCTGGCTTTTCTTCTGTGTTGACGTTGCATGTTCTCTGTTGAGTCCTCAGATTCCCCGGCTCCCACTTCCGTGCTCTCTGCTGGCTCCCGAGCCCATCCGGCGGGACTTTTATTTCAGTTTTAGCTCTAAAATTTCCATTTCACTCCTCTTCCTATCTTTTATCTCTTTGCTGAAACTTGTTTTCCCATTTGTTTTAACCTGAGAGCTTGCTGGCGATGCTTTAAGGCCTTATCACAAAATTCTGACACCTGCGTCGTCTTTTGTCCTCTGAGTTGAGATTTGCCTACTTACGAGTGCGATGAGTAATCCCGGACTCTGTCGTGGATGTCGTGGAATCTCGACGCTTGTTGGATCTGTTTCAGTCCCGCCTGTTCGGTTCCTGCAGTACAGGCCAGGCCAGGGGCAGCACAGGGTGGCAGAGCCTCTTGCGAACCTTGTCTGCGCGGGGCATCTCGTCTGGGCTCAGGGGCATCCTGGGCCGCGGCTGCTCTGGCGCTCAGGCTGCGAAGTACAGGAAGGAGAAAGACCAGGCGCTCTGCTAGTCGTCCTTTGAGGCCGCAGGGTCCCTGCTGCCCGCACGCCTTCCCGCACCGTCTAGTCTGCCCTGGGCGCCTCCCGCCCACCTCCCAGCTCCTCCCCTTGGACTCGGGAAGGGGAGTGGGTGCGGTGCACGTACTCCCTCTCGCCCATGACAAAAGCGAACGCCGGTTTTTGAACGTTACACCAACCTTGCATTTCTGAAATAAACCCAGCAAGTGATATATTCTTTTGCTAATATTTTATTTAGAACTACTACATTTAGGTCTATGAGTAAGATTAACCTATAATTTCCTTTCTCACCGTCAGGTTTTAGAATCGGTTTTCTCTGGCCTCATAAATGTGTTCCCTATTTCTCTGTTTTCTGAAAACGTTTGCTTTAGATGCATGTCTTGCAAATCAATTGATAGAATCCAACGTTGAAACCACATGGGTTTAGCATTTTCCTTGTAAGAAGGTTTAAAATTGTGAATTCAGGGTTTTTTTCACACTTATAGGACTACACAGATTTTCTTTTTCTGTGTGTCATATTTTGATGTTATATTTTACTAGAAAATCATCCATTTCATCTAAATTTTTAAAATTTTGGCATAAGGTTGCATTTAGTACCCTCCTGTGAGTTTTAAAAGCCTGCAGGATCTAAAGTAATAACACTTCTTTTCATTCCTTATATTGCTTCTGTTCACTTTTTTCTTGCTTTGTCTTACCAAAGATTTAGCTTTTTTCAAAGAGCCAACTGTCGGTTTTGCTAGTCCTCTGATATATATGCTGATTTTTCTATTTTCTCAGTATCTAATATTGGCTTTATTCTTTCCTTCCTTCTACCTTATTTGGTTGTTCTTTTTCTGATTTTTTGAAATGGATGTTCAGCTTACTGATTTTCAGCCTGCCTTTTTTCCTAAAATAAGCTTCTATGGTTATAAATATTCTTGAAAGGAGAATTTTAGATGCCTTCTTCAAGTTTTGGTAAGCAGTGTTTTCATGATAATACAGTTCAAAATAATTTCTAATATCCATTGTGATTTCTCCTTATCCGTGTGGGTCGTACAGGCACCTTAATCCCCAGGCAAATGAACTAGGACGCTGGTGCGGGCCAGCCAGACACCAGACGGCAAGGCTGGGTTTGTTCCTGCAAAGATTCCTGCTGTCTTGCCATAAGGACTGCACTTTACATACAGCACATTCTTTTTGGGGACCCAACCCTGTCCACTCAGCTTCAGAACGTGTTCATGCCGAGGTGGACCACTGGTGACAGGGCGTCCCTGAGGGCAGAAGACATGCCTCCGGCCTGAGCAGCACAGATGTCCGTCTCCCCAAAGTGGGGGCAGGCAGTCGGGATCTTCCCAAGGCTTTAGGGGGCCTGGGCTCGACAGGATTGCCTTTCCCACAGGAGGAGCTGCGCCAGAGGGCAGCATGTCCACGGGCTCAGCGCTCAGGAGGCTTGGAGACAGGGTGCATCTCCTCAACTTCCTGGTGGCCCGGCTCAGACAGCAGGTATGGCCAACCTCTGACGCTCAGGCCATGCAGGCCTTCTGGCTGGGAGCCGCATGGTGCATGGGCTCTGGTGCCACACTGCAGCACAAGCCCCATTACGCCCTCCGACATGTCCTTTGATCTCTGCCTCAGTCTCCTTCCAGGAAGGGGTCATCGTGAGGAGTAGCTGGTTTGTCCCGTGTGCTCTGTAGAAGGCACACGGTGGGGGCCTGGAAACGACAGGAATGTCCAGCATGGGAGTGCCTGTGCACACGGGGCCTGTTCTCTGTGCTGCAGGGTTGTTGCCTGCCTGTGAGCGCCGATGCCAGCTGCCCACTCGGGATGTGTGTAGACAAGCCCTGGTACTGCGTTAGCATCTGGGCACCGAGCTGTGGCAAGAGCATGTGCCATTAGTGACGAGCACATGTGAGCTCGCAAGCACCTTCCCTTCCTGTCCTCTTGGCCCTGCCCGTCTGGGGGCAGGTGGCATCATGCACTGAGCTGGCACACGGGACAGCCCCACAAACTCCAGCACAAATTCCACCCTGTTATACAATATAGCTCCTATGGCCACATGTGTTGTATTGCTACAAATTCATAATATCTCTTTTTTAGTGTTTTTTAAATTGTAAAATATGCATAACATAGTTTTTTACATATTTTTTTACAAGTGTACAATTCAGTGGCATCAAGTGTAATCGCAGCATTGTTTGCATCATCACTGCCTATTCCCAGAACTGATCCATCATAGTGGAAACCCCGACCCCATGGTACACTAGCTCCTCAGCCCTCCTCCCCCAGCCCCTGGCAACCTGCCGCCTCTCCGTCTCCGTGACCTTGGCGCCTCCAGGGCCTCGCGTCGGTGGAGGCCTGCAGTGTGCATCCTTGGCGATGGGCTGATTTCACTCAGCGTCTCGTCTTCAGGGCTCACCCATGCTGTAGCAGGTGTCAGCGCTTCCCTCCTTTTTGTATCTGAGTAACATCCCATCATACACCCCACATCTTGTTTATCCACTCGTCTGAAGGACCTTAGGCTGTTTCCACCTTTTGGCTGTAGCGAATAATGTGCTGTGAGCGTGGAGACATGTATCTGCTCACGTCCTGTTTTCGTTTCTTTGGGGTACGTATGGGGGCATGGGATTGCTCGGACTGTTTAACCTGTTGAAGAGCCGCCAGGCTGTTTTCTACAGCGGCCGCACCTGTGCTCTCCCAGGGGCGTGTGGGGGCCCCGCGTCCCCCGGCCTCCCAGGCCCTGCCTCTGCTCTCTGATCCTAGCTCTCCTGGCGGATGTGAACTGGCACGTTGCTGCATTTGTGGTTTGCATCTCCCTGGTGACAAATGATACGGAGCCTCTTTTCATGTGCTTATTGGCCATTTATACATCTTTGGAGAACATTCAGATCCTTTGCCCATTTTTAATTGGCTTACTTATGTTTTATTGTTGAGTTATAAGAGTTCTCTATGTATTCTGGATACAAGTCCCTTATCAGATATAAAATTTGCAAAATTTCTCCCATTCTGTGGCTTGTTTTTCCACTTTCTGGATAACGTCCTCTGAGCGCAGGTGCTCTGAACTCTGACGGAGTCCTGTCTGTCTGCTTCGTGTTGCTCGTGTCATTGGTGTTGTGTCACCCTGTTGCCTTTTGCACATGTTTCTCATGAGGTGACATAAAGAGAGAATTTTTCTCCTGTCCTTTACGTCTATAATCACAGAAGTCACACTGTCCTTACAGACTCTGCATGTTCTGTGGGGCAGAGCACCCCACTGGGAGCAGGAAGGTTTCGGGGCTCTCCATCTGCTGCGGAGATGGGCCGTGTGCCTGCGATCTGATGCCTGAACCTGATTGAAAGTTAATTTTCTGTTGTGATGGAGATGAATTTGACTGATTGCCCTTTCCATTTATGGGTGTACAGGTCTGTGTACACAGTGAGGGGCACCTTCAGGTCTGTGACGCTCCGGAGCTGTTCCCCAGTTCTGTTCTGCCCCACTGGGGGAATTTCACATATACACATGCAAAAGTCTATGCTACATGCTACAAACAGGAAATGAACATTTAGTAAGAGCTTTGGGTTTTCTCCTGGTAATCATAGATGATTTTGTTATCCTGGGAAAAAAAGCCCACCTTGAAGTTTTTTTTCTGTTTACCAAATGGTCACCTTTTTTAGTGTACATGTGACAAATTCAAAGAATAAAATATTCACCAGGAATTCATCATAGGAGTCCCTGGAACAGGACAATAGTATTTCATCCTCCTGAGAATAAAATGGAAACGTTAGGGGTGCAGAGGGGTGTTTTTTCTGCCTGTTCCCCCCCACCCCTTACATCAGGAGAGCAATGCTGCTGAGAGAAGCAGATGTGTAGGGGCTGCCCCGAGCTCCGTGGCCAGGGCTCGGCTCCAGGGACCTCGCGGCCCCCTGCAGCTCCCCCAGCCTGGGGCTCCTCTTTGTGAACCTTCCCTCCACCTCTGCCCTCTGTCAGCACCCACCCCTCCCACTCCCCCCCACAGCTGGCGATGTACTTTCTCAGGTGTGGGTTTCCATCTGGGCGTGGGGCTCCGGAGGGGCATGTTAGGCCTCTGCCTCTGTCCAGACACATCCACATGCAGGCTCTCCCCAGTCAGCCGCGGGGCTCTTGTGCTCAGGCTCCACTACTGGTGACCATATCCACCGCAAGGACAGGTGGGGCACCCTGGGGCTGAGGTGGGGGCACCCTGGGGCTGGGATGCGGCCACCCTGGGGCTGGGATTGGGGGCTGCCCTGGGGCTGGGAGGGGGGCACCCTTGGGTTCGGGCGGAGGCACCCTGGGGCTGGGACGGGGCACCCTCAGGCTGGGACCAGGCCACCCTGGGGCTTGGATCAGGGGCTGCCCTGGGACTGGGATGGGGGCCACATTAAACCAGAGGAGAGGCTGAGAGATGCATTTCCTGGACTGTCTGCCGTCTGCCTCTTCCCCTCCCCTGCTCCTGCCCCTCTCCCCTCCGAGCCCAAACCCTCCCCCTAACACTGCCTCTAACACCGCCTCCCAGGTGCAGCAGGAACCCCTGGACATAGACACCATCCAGCGTGAGCTGCCCCACCAGGTAGACCAGGTGCATCTGGAGGTTCTGGAGCTGCACAGGCAGGTGGCCGAACTGGAGAAGCGTCTTGGGACAAGGGCCTCAAGCAGGCGGCAGCTGGGCAGTCTGGACGCCGGAGCCCTCAGGAGACAGGTGGGTGCGCTGCGCCGGCCTTGGGTCTGCTCCTGCCACTGGCCAGCTGCTCACTGCAGGAGTCACCCCGTGGAGGCTCTGCCCGAGTGGCTGGCCTGCAGAGCCCCCAGGCCCCGTGGCTGGCCTGGCCCCGCCTCCCCCGTCTACCCACCTTGGACATGCTCACACTGGGGCCTGGTCTCGGACAGACAGCCCGTTGAAGTGTGCTGCCCCCTCACTCCCCAGGTCTTCAAGACCTGCCGCTCAGATGGTGCATGTGAGAGACCCCCTTGTGGGAGGGTGGCTGTCCCGTGTCCTCTAAACAGGAGGACTTGGCTCGTGCTGAGAGGGGTCCATGAGGCCCTGAAAGGAACACAGCACCGGGGTTTCCTTCCAGAGGACCCTCAAGGGAGGCCCTGCACTTCCGTGGGATCTCGGAATCTGAGCCCACTGTCCTTGCGCCTGACAGTGGGGCCACCCTATGTGGCTGTTGTGGGGCTCCCCAAGCCTGGCTGTGCTCTGGCCCTTGGCACGGTGCCCATTTGCCATGGGCTGGGTTTGGGCCAAGGTTCTCAGCTGGGGCTTTGCAGTGGCCATCCCCCTGGATCTGATGGACAGCACCTTCCTTCTTACCATAGGTGTGATGGGGATGCAGTGAAGGATGTGCATCCTCTAACAGGCCTCCTGAGGCCTCTGGCAGGGACCTGCAGTGACCTATTCCTCAGTGAAAGGTTTTAGGGACAGTAGAGTGATGTCTGAAAGGTGCTGAGAGCCCTCTGGCAGAAACAGATAGAACTGAAGCACAGGCCCTCAGGCCGAGTCAGGACCTTCTGTGGCAGTGGAGATGGACACAGGCCATGGTGCCCTGTGGCTCAGATATGCCTTGGGCTGGATGTGTGAGGGTGGCTGCAGAGGAGAGAGGAGGTGTGGACAGGCCAGGCTAGGACAGTCTGAACCTCACTGGGGGTGCAGGAAGGAGGACACAGAGCCTCAGCACCCGGTGCAAGGTGCCATCCCTGGGGCCCCAGGCCTCCCCACAGCCCAGGCTGCAGGGGCCCATCCTGGCCCAGCAGCAGATGCTGTGGTGATATGCGTGCCCACCCCCCTGCCCACAGTCCTGCCACAGTCCCTCCAGGTGCTTGGCCTAGCGGTCCCTGTGCACTCACTGTGCCCAGGGCTCTAGACCAAGGAGACCTTGCATGCAGGCCGGACTGAAGGTCAAAGTGCCTAATCCATGGCTGATGGGCCAGGGGCCGTCTTGCTCCCCCAGGGCGGGCGGCTGGGTGAGCTCTCTGAGCCCCGGCTCCTGCGCAGCAGCCAGGATCCCACGCTCCCTCTTGGTCCAGGTGTCCAGGGGCCTTGGCGAGGTCGCCGCCTAGATGGGAAGTCCGAGGAGCAGGAGACGCAAGCAGCTGGCTCCTCCCGGGGCTCCTCCAGCTGTGTGCTGGGCTGCTCCCGGGGCTCCTCCCGGCTGTGTGCTGCGGCTCCTCCCGGGGCTCCTCCCGGCTGTGTGCTGCGGCTCCTGGGGAGGAGGGGGCGGTTCTGGCAGGGAGAGAGGAGAGGGAAGGCTGACTCGGGCGCTGGGGGGCGCAGGTAGGGTTGGGGTTACCAGGGTCGGCTTTGGGTCCTTTCAGAGAGAGGCTTGCGTGCTCCTGCTCTGCCCGCCAGGAGGGCCTGGGAGCCCCCCGCGCCCAGAGCTTGGATCTGAGTCTCCCACTCTGCCGAGGGGAACCAGGGTCGCAGCTCATTCCACTGCAGGACATGCCGGCGGGTGTGGGAACCGGGGTCAGGGCCCCGCTGGCCAGATCCAGGCCAGCTGAGCACAAAGGCAGGGTCCCAGTCCGCAGGGGGATCAGACTCCAGGGGACCTAGGGGAAGGAGGGGAAGCTCCTCGCGTCGGAGCAGGGCCTGGCAGCTGCAGAAGGCGCAGCGCTGGTGCGGAGCCAGCAGCCAGGTGTGGGTGCAGCATCTCCCCTTGAATCACATCGTGGTCACAGGGACAGCAGGAGCTTTCCGGGGCAGCGACCAGCTGCAGGCTGCGTCCCCCCGCACTGCTGGGACCGAGGCGCCATGAGCCCCAGGCTGGCCACACTCCTGACTGACCACAAGGAGACCTCCAGCAGGCCAGATGGAGGGGCGCTCTGCAGCCAGAACGGGCTGCCTCTGGGCCCGAGGGTGGGGGCACGTGGAGCCCCTGCGCTGTCCTTGTGCTGCCCCGTAGTGTGACTTCCTCCCAGATGGAGGCGGCCCCTTCCCTCCCCAGCCAAAAAGGGGCCGCCCGGATCCCAGAGTGCCTGCCGGCTGTGCCTGCAGTCGGGCATCTCACGTGCTCTCCTCTCCAGTGCCCCCTCGCTGCCGCCCGCAAAGGGAGGGACTGGGAGGGACTGGGAGGGCTGGTGGGGTCCACCCCCAAACACCACCACTCCTCCCAGACACCCAGGACCAAGGCTAGGCTCCCCCCAAGGCCTTCTGCGGGCACGAGCACACCAGGATGGAGGCGCCCAGGTCCACGGGGGGGCAGTGTTGGCTTGGGGATCCCTCCGTCTGGCCCTGCCGGAACCGGAGGAAGGTTTCAGACCCAACCTGTGAACACCAGCCATGCTGCTCCCGTGCACCCAGAGCCGGGGCCCCTCAGCCCCTGACAGCTTCCGTGCGGAGCCCCTTCACCCCCTACCCTCTGGAACAGACTCGTGAAGGCATCTCAAGGAGCCAGGCTTTCCCTGGGCGCAGAGCCGGTTCCTTCTGGGCCAGGTGCTGGGGTCGGGAACCCACAGCAGGCGCCAGCGGCAGGCCGGCAGCAGAGGGTGAAGGGCTGTACAGCGGGACCGCGTGTTCCTGAAGCGCGCAGCTCGGAAGTTCCTGAATGTCTCGGGTCAATACTGTCGTCATATTGCTGATGGTGGGAGAGACTCCGAAAGTCATTAAAATACAGTAATCTTGCCAGAAATTGAGCTCAGGAATGAGGGTCCCAGGCTGCAGTGCCCCCTCCCCATGTGCCCCCAGTGACTGGAACATGAGCCTGAGCCGTGTGAGGTCAGGACTTGCCAGTCCAGTCCCCTGGCCAGCAGCTCCTCGCTCCTGCCAGGGCTGTGTGCCTGCTTTTGAAAAGTGAGTTTTCTCTCAAGTCTCTGAGTGTTCTCAGGTTTGCAAAGTCTCTGCTTTCAGGATTGTTGTTTCCTTGTTTAAAATAACATGAGAATCCAACTGTGTGGTCTTGTGGGGACCCCACCTTGCTAACTGGCCGACCAAGCCCCCCCGTCCCAGGGCCCCTGTGCGTGAACCAGTGACCCTGGCCTCCCGTGCCCCAGGCCTGCCCCAGGCCCTTTGCCCCAGAGTCCATGAGCACAGCTGGTGCCCCTGCTGGCCGAGCAGGTGCCAGTGCCGCTCATGGGGAGGGAGCTGGGCGGCGTGCTTGGGCTGTGGCAGGGCCTACCTGGGGACTCTCTCCGGCTCCTCCCTCGGCATCTCACCTCCACACCCCCCTTCATGCCAGAGGCACCAGTGTGCATCAGTGCAGCTCCCAGGTCCCCTGAAGAGCACGGACTCCTGGCAGCCCTGGAAAGGCACACACGGAAAAGGGGCCAGGACAGGGCATGCTGGCCGTTCCTGGGCTCGGAGCGGGCTCTTTGTGCTGGTGCTGGCTTGCGTGGCCAGGACGGGGCACAGTGCGGCCTTTCAGGGATGTCAGGAAGAGCGGTACCTAAGTAGGCCACCTGTGTCCCTTGGCGCCTCGGGCACCACAGGTCCCTCCTGGCCCCTGCCCGACACAAAGGCGGCCCCCACACAGTCTTCCTCGGCTGACCCACCGTGCCCCATTCCGAATGCTCCTCTGAGCGCGACTGCTCATCTCTGCCAGAGCGTGTGGTGTGGCTGTAAGTCCAGGCTGTGACTGCAGGGGCTCAGGCCGCCAGGGTTTTATGACGACATGGCGCCTACTGGGCCAGGGTGGGAGGAGAGGGTGCGCTCGGACCTGGAGCCCAGGCCTGGGGCAGCCTCAGGGCACAGAAGCCGAGGCCCAGGAGCCCCGAGGAGCTGCTGCCTGCCTTGGCCTCTTTGCTTTCCATCTGCACCTCTGTCAGGACACGGGGACCTGAGCTGGCCTGCAGCTGGTTGAGGGGTGTCAAATGGTGGGAAATGGGAGGCAGGACAGACAGAGCAGAGAAGAGGAGGAGGTTTGCTGAGCAGGCAGGGCACGTGGGGGGCAGCGGGAGGGGCCTAGCACTTGGAGGGCAGAGGGACCCCAGGGGTGCGGTCCAGATGGAGGGAAAGGGCAAAAAAGGACGCCAGCTCCCACCAGAGGCCACCCATCAGGGTTCTGCCAGCCCCTCCCATGCCAGGTGGGCAGCACAGAGCACACAGACCGAGGACCTGGTGGGCCCTTGTCTGCGCAGTCCTGGGCCTTCATTCCCCCACCTGTGAAGCCCGCCGCCCCGTGGCTGCCCCCAGTTCCCCCAACTGCACCACTAACTCCTGTGAACGGTTTTCCTTTTGTCTCATTTTGCAAGGACATCACCCAGTGGAGCTAGTTGTGTGGCAGATAGCCAGGGGATGGCACCCACACCCCGTTTGTCATCCCCTCTTCCACCTGGAGGGCTTGTCTTATGAGCTGTCTTCCATGTGGTTCCGCTCACAGGACCCCATAGGTGAAGGACACGTGGAGACCAGGGACCGGAGGGCACAGGCCCCAGATGCCATGTCTGTGCACCGACTCCAGAGGAAGCTAAAGGAGGCGGCCCGAAAAGTCCTCCACCTCGGCCTTGAGAAGGAGCAGCTCCTGGAGATGGGGAACAGGCTGCGTGCAGAGCGGGGCCGCCCCCTGGGTGAGTCTGGGAGTGGGGAGTAGGCTGCGTGCGTGCGGAGCAGGGCCACCCCCTGGGTGAGTCCGGGAGTGGCAGCCTGAGGCTCCCGGTTCTGGTGTGTGTCCGAGTTGAGGGACAGAGGCCCTCCCAGCGATGCTCTCTTCTTCTGGACAGAGGTGTGGGGAGGGAGCAGGGAAGGGGGAGGCCAGAAGCTTTGCCCCTGCGCAGGTAGGGAGCCTGGGCCACAGGGTGGGTCTGACCCATGTGGAGGGCAGGAGGGGAACAGAAACCACCCTTGTAGAAAAAATTCGGGGTCAGATGTCACCAGCACAGAAGAACGTCACCTCTGTGATGGGAGCTCTGTAAACCCGCTCTTACTGCGCATTTGTGAGGAAAACACTTCAGGTCAGCGAAACAGCAGCATTTCGATACTGCTCCGTGGCGAGCAGCGAAGGCTGCCATGTCCCCAGGCACCCCTGTCTGCAGACTTCTCCGGATGAGGCGACAGGCTGGGACGGTCCCTGCAGATGCCTAGGCTGCCCGGGCACCATGCCTGGCGCTGTGGCTCTCTGCCTGGCTTTGTGTCGAGGCCCTCCCGGTGCCCCTGCAGTGCCGGGACACAGGCCCCTGGTTCTCACGCAGCGTCCACTGCCTGATGTGGCTGCTGCCTGTCCATCCTTTCCAGCAAGATCTTTGAGTCGTGGTGATCCCAAAATATTGGGACTTTGGGATTCTAGCCCTTGTCAGAGTGGAGCATAGGCCATTCTTTCTCTCCTGTCTGTTGCCTGAGAGCTGAGAGCAGGCCAGAGGCCTTCAGGCCCACCACCAACCAATGCACTTGAGCAGCGAAGCCCAGGCCGTTCCACTCCCTTTCCGAGGCAGGCGGCCCCGCGGGGTCTGCAGAGAGAATCAGTGCGGAGGGGGCATCAGTGGAAACATGGCCTCCCTGCCGACCGCAGTCCTGGCTTCCTGGGCTGGGTGCTCCCGACTCCTGACCGACGCAGCGTTCAGAAGACCTTTGCCATCAAAGGGGAGGAGGAGGCTGGGAAGCTGTGTTGCATTCTCTGGTCTCTTCCCAGGGCTAAGATGCATGGGTATACAAGTAGCTTTTAATGCAGTAACATTTCCAGTCTTAATGTGACCACTGAAATCATCTAGCAGATAGGAAGGGCGCCTGGGAGGCCTCAGGGCAGGGAAGCGGGAGGCTCTGTGAGGAAGCCTGGCAAGGGGAGGGCATGCCACCTCCTGGGTAGTTGACAGGTAGTTTGCTGGGCACCCAAGATACAGAGGCACACCCGCCACACAAGGGCAAGCAGCCGCATCGCCCCTTGAATAGCCACTGGGCAGGGGTACTGAGGGGACGTTCTCCAGGGATTGGCCCCTCCAGGCGCCCACCACGGGAAGAAGAGGGGTAAAGAGCACCTACAGGTGCGTTTCCAGACGCTGTGAGTGTGCAAGGCGGTGCCAATGACGCCCACCTACAGCCCTGTCGGAGCCTGGCTCCTTCCCCGAACTCCCTCCCTGCCATGGGCCGAGAGGGACAGGTTGGCTCCCAGCTCCTCGGGCACTTCTAGCTTGTCTTCTGCCAAGTCCACTGAAGACCTTGCTTCTCCTCAGGGCCGTGCCACCCGCTCATGCCTCTGACCTGCCATCTCCCAGCTGTGACCCTATGACTTCAGGGATCCTGGCTCCATTTTTCCCTTTATTCCATTCCATTCTGTCATCTACGCTGGCAACACCCTCCTGCACCTGAACCTTGCTGCTCTTGACCTTGGCCTCTGTGCCAGGCCCTGGCACTGCCAGATGCCCTCCCTCAGCCCCTGAGGCCCCAGACCTTTTCTCGGACCACAGCCTCTCCCTGTCCTCTGACCCTCCATCCAGTGACCTTGCCTTTCCTCCCCCTCATGGGGCCCTAGGGCCAGCCTGGCCTCATGGCCAAGCACTTCGGTGAGGCATCCACCCAGCCATGCGCCCACCCATCCAACAGAGAAGCCCCTGCTAGGAGCCAGACTCTTCCAGACTTCTGAGGTTCCTGCACTGCAGGCCCCACATCTGCGCAGACCCACCCTCTCCTCTCACCAGGCCCACTGGCTGCCTCAGTGGCAGAGGAGGCCACAAGCTTTGCAGTGTCTCTGGAGGTTGGAGACCCAGCAATAGAACTTCATGCATTTGGTACCCTTGTTGATGGTAGATGTCGAGCTATCTTTTCTTTTCATTTCTTTCTGTGACAGTTTGTTGGTGTGGGTTTTCTGCTCCTTGGATCAATATCAGACATTTACATTTTGCTGGAAAACTGCCCTGGTCTGCAGCTCTTAGAAGTGCAGAGTGGCACCCAGAGGTCGCACTCCCTGCTCCCCGTCTGTGCCCCTGCTGACCTCCTTCATTTCCTGACACTCCCCCGGGTGCAGTTCAAACTGCCCTTCCTGTGGCTGTGCACGAATGAACTCAGTTCACTTTTGCAACAAGCCCAGGCAGTAAGCAGGGCTCCCTAAACAACATTAAAAAAATGTAAATCTACCTGGACACAAGGAAGTCAACGATCAGCATATTTGATGTCATTGTATTTTAAAACCTCTGTAAGGAGACTTCCTAAACAGATGGAAGACCAGTACCAGACCTGGGAAGTGTTTGCTGCATGTTTGAGAGCCCTGAAAGGTCATTGCCCACGACAGACATCCACCCTTTGGCAGAGGATGGACAGTGAGTCCCAGAAGGACCCCTGTCGCTGGTGAGGACAGGGAGGGAGCCTCGCCTCTGCAGCAGTCTGAGGAGGGCGGAGGGAGTCGGCGCTAAGCTCCCACGCACTCCGAGAAGTCTAACACTTGTGCCGAGGGGACTGGGGCACACGTGCACTTTCGATGGGGCTCTTCCTTGGTGAAGCCTTTTTGGAAAGCCTTTTGGTTGCATCTGTTAAATTTTAAATGTCTGTGCCCATTGAATCAGCAATTCTACTAGAAAATTATTTTTAAAATATTTTTACAGATACAAAAAAGACATGTACAAGGGCTTCCTCAGCAGCATTTTTGTGCTGAGTGCCTATCCTGGGGCCCCGGAACCAGCCCCCGGCACGCTGCTCGGCTCGGCCCTGCAGGAGCTGTCTCCACGAGGCGGTTCTCAGACCCGTTGTGATGGAGAGCTCGCTCCACTGAGGTCCAACCCTCCGGAGAGGATACTTCTGTCAAATACAATAAACATACGGCTGTTCCAAATCACTTGAAAAACTCCTGCTGCTTGTTGTCATTTTTGTGCCATTTCATCACAGCCTGGAGCAGTTAGTGGACCAGCCGGCCTGCCCACCACACTTCCTACCTTGGCCTGGACATGCCATTTCACCAAAGAAGCACCCTGCAAAATTCTATGTTTGGATCAACAAGCAGACATACGGCAGAGGGCGTGTGTGCTCATGTGCATGACTACGCACGCATGCACGGAAGGAGTGGGAAGGAAGCAGGCCTATTTGTTGGCGGTTTGGGGAGCAAATGAGTGAGAAGAGAATTAAGATTCTGGCTGCGCGCTCTACACGTCTGTGTTTGCAGCTGTAAATACATCACGCACACCGCACCCTCCTCTAGCCACGCTGCTGGTGGGGGCCCTGCTCTCCGCACAGGTGCGTGACCTGATGGCAAAGTCTTTTGGCAAGACTGGTCTGTCGGTATTTTTTTACAAAGAGGATTTATCTGGCTCGCAAATTATGGCTGCAGCCATGAAGTGGTACAGAATGGCCCCCAGGGATAGGAATGTCTTGTCCTCATTCAACAGCATTAAGAGGGTAAGACTGCCCAGCCAAGGCAGTGCGCCACCCGCTCCATCCACACTGTGTTCAGGTGCTTCTCTGGCTTCCTCTGCGGTCCCACTGTGGCCAGGGACCTGCACCTCCCCGAGGTGTGGCCTTACCCATCTGCCGCTGGGAAGGGGTCCCGTCCCACAGCGAGCTGGCAGACCAGCCCCTTAACTGGCCCTGCTCGTACTCCCGCCCAGCCTTCACCTCACATCCCCTGCTGGCCACGGCCAGGCTCCTGTGGCGGCTCAGGTCCAGGCCTTCGGACCCACATTCACAGACAAGCAGGCCGTGCGTGTGGTGGTGGAGGTGCCGGGGAGCCGCCTGCCAGGTCGCACCTGCCCGCCTCCCGGAGGACACAGGCTGCGGGCCAGCTCAAGCAGGTGCCCTGGGGGCCCCGTGCCGAGTGCTCACCCCTCACTTCTGAGGTACAGACCATCACGCCACCCGCGGCGCGGTCGCGGCCAAGACCACAGGGAAGCCAGCGCAGCCGCAGAGCGGGCCTCCCGCGCGGCCAGGCAGCCGCAGGCCCGCTGGGAAGGGTGGCCTTCAGCTCGGGCTCTCCTCCCCCACTGCCGTGCCCTTGCTCCTGATTTTCCCAGAAGCCAGAACTGCACGCCATAGTCCTTGACCTTGTGTGAAGCAGGATTCCTTAAAATGTTTCAAACGATCTTAACATACAGTATTTTTCAAAGACTTCAATTTTGAAGGGCAGTTTTAGGTTCACAGCGAAATTGAAGGGAATTTCGATTTCCCGTACACCCCTCCCTCCACACACAGCAGCCCCCTGGTCAGCACCTCCCCTAGAGCAGGATGTCTGTTACAGGTGCTGAACCTACATGGACACACTGCCGTCACACACAGTCCACGGTGTACAGCGGGCTCACTCGGTGCTGTGTGTTCTACGGGTTTCACCAAATGTGTGACATCACATGTGCCGGTGGGGGGCGGTTCTCTGCCCTGAAATGCCCTGTATCCTGTTCCTTCCCCACCCCTAGAGTTTTGCCTTTTCCAGAAAGTCATATAGTTGGAATCATACTATAAAGTATGTAGCTTTGATGCCTAACATTGTAAAAAGTTTCTTGGTTTTTGTGATTATAAAAAGGCTGTTTGCTCACTGTAAAAATTTAAGTGAATGCTGAGAAGTAGTAATTTGTACAGGAAGGTGCAAATTACTAACTGGAGCTAATGGGCACTTTGGTGAAAAGGCCAGGTCTGTGGCAGGGTGAGTGTCCGTGCTCACACAGCACTGGCAGACCTCCCTCCTGCCCTTGGCACCGGCCTTCCTGAGTGGCCCTTGGTGTGCATTTTGGCATTAGGAGGCTGGTTCTTTTTGGAGGAGCTACGCCTTGGCCAGTACCTGTTCTGCCCCAGCCCTGCCCCTCGGTGCAGGCAGACCTCCTCAGGAGGCAGTCGGAGTATCCAGTGGATCAGCCCTCCAGACATGTGTACACCAACAGCAAGATACCTGTTTGCATTTATTATTAGAATTGCACACATGCATCTAAAATCCTGTTGTAAAAATACGTCAGCACAGACGCAGTGGCTTGCAGTAAAATGGTTTTATTTTCACCACTTTCTAGCATGATGGCTTCTCTAGCATGATGGAAACAGAGCTCTATGTCGGCATTTTCTTACAGCTCTTTTTCGAGGTAACACTCCGCAGGCTGCAGAGAAGCTGGCTGCCTGTCGGCGCCCCTTCCTTGCCGAGGGCCCCTCTCTCTCCGGCTGCCTTAGGCTTCCGTCTGTTGCCCTGTTTTGCCCTCCTGTGGCCAAGTCGGGGCTGCTCCGCTTGCTTAAACCTGCTCAGGAGTCAGTATGCTTTTTTAATCTTGAGACCTGTGGTTTGTTTCTTCTTTTCATTCGTTAAAATTCTCAGCCATTGTTTCTTTAAATACTCTTAGTATTTCTGACTCTTCTGGAGATCTTATTAGATCTACTGGGAATGTTCTTAATGTGTGTGCACCTGTGTATTAATAAAACTCCAGCCCAGTCAGGAGGATGCTAAGTCCAAAATAAAGAAGTAAGGCAGCGACCAAGTGAGCACCTAAAAGCAGTAGCTGAGTGTATGACTTTCTCTCTGTCCTATTATCTGAAATGCCAGGCCAGCCCTCAGGACTCCAGGGAAGAGGGGCACCGTGGCAGCCAGGCCCTGACAGTGCGGGGGGCCACCCCTCAAACCTTGATGTCCACAGTGTAATGAGCACCTCTTCCAACTGGCAGCTTTTCTAATGAAACTCATCAGTAGTGCACATCAGATAAACCTAATCATTTCTAACACCCTCTTTTTCTAAGAACAAACCCTTGTGATTTTCCAGGGGCCCTCTGGGAAATGTCAAAGACAGTTTTAGGTGCAAGAGGTATCCTGAAAATCTTACCTTATTTTACATTTAGGATTCAGTTTTGAGAAGGAAAAACATCAAAAACAGTCAAGAAATTTGAACTCTAAGATAGGATCACAGATGCCTGAGAAACAGGAGTTGTCCACTCATGTGAAAGTGACAACAAGACATTAAAAATTTACATAGAATCTAATGTAATTGTGAAGAAACCTTAGCTCATCAGACAATTACTCTGGTAAGACTTTGCTATTTGGACAGATTATGTAGAAGGTAAAGAGTAAATCTTCATACTTCAGGTGAAGGAATTCATAGTGAACTGAGAAAACCTGACCATCAAAATTGAGCAAACTTTCCTAAGATTTTAAGACATTTCATGGCTTTTTTAAAACTAGCAATCTTTTTTTAAATTTTGGTGAAATACAACATAAATTTACCATTTAAACCATTGTGAAGTGTACAGTTCAGGGGCGTTAAGCACATTCACAGTGTTGTGCAGCCCCCACCACTAGTTCCAGGACGTTTTCATTCCCCCAAGGGAGACCCCACACCCAGCAGCCACTCCCCACCCTCCTTCCTCCCCCCGGGTAACCACCGGTCTGCTCTCTGTGTGTGGATTGGCCTGCCCTGGACATGTCATGTAGATGGAATCACACACTATGTGGCCCTTTATGTCTGGTTTCTTTCACTGAGCATGACATTGTTGAGGTTCGCCCACATAGCATGTGTCAGAGCTTCATTCCTTTTCATGGCTGAGTACTATTCTACCATGCAGATGGGCCATGCTCTGCTGACCCACTCCTCAGGGACAGACTTGTGGGTTTTTCTGTTGTTTGGTCATTGTGAATAGGGCTGCTGTATACATTCATGTATAAGGTTTTGTTTGAACCCATTTTCAGTTCTTTGGGATACATGCCTAGAAATGGAATTGCTGGGTGAGAAGGTAATCCTTTGTTTAACTTGTTGAGGAGCTGCCACGCTGGGCTCCACAGCGGCTGCTCCACGTTACACTCCCACCAGCGTGTGTGGGGTGTGTGCTGTCTCCACAGCCTCACCAACACTTACGTCCCGTCTTTTGGATCCCCGCTGTCCTCGAGGGCCCAGGGAGAATCTCCTTGTGGCCTTGACCTGTGTCTCCCTGACAGCCAATGGCAGGGCCCTTTCATGGGCTTACCGATGTTTGTGCATCTTCTCATTGCATAGCTTTTAAACTCAGGTAGTAGATACTAAGGAAGTTAAAGTCATTTCCAAATTGTGTCCTTCATATGTCCTTTTATTGCCTGGGAAAAAAGGATGCATTACTTTAAGACCCATCTCAGGAGTTCCATGGTGGCAAAACTAATTTCATAACTACTCACAGGTTATCAACAAGCAGTATGTTCTTCGTCACTGTCATCAAATGAATGGATAAGTAAGCTTTTAAAACTTGTTTCAGTTCCTAGTAAGGTAAATGTGAACAGTTCTAATTCACAAAGAACTTGCTGGAGTCCTCAGTAAGCTTGTTTTTAGCCAAATTGATTCATTATTCTGGAAAATGTTATTAGAACAGTAATATCATTATAGTATGTCAGCTTAAAGATAATTTCCAAGATTTATAGATAAATTAACACAAATTGAGTTATGAATGGATGTTCATTGGATGCCAGATTGTTTCTAAGTAGCCAGAATGCGAAGCATTGACTACAAGCATCATGTTTTAAATTTATGCATTTAAACATGTGCTGCTTTTATTTTCCTGTGCTACAGAGAGGGCATATCATTGGGTCGTTTCTGCCACTGGAGAAGCTGTGTAAGGGATATGGGTAGCTAGAAAGTCAGGTGTGTGTGTCTGTGAGTTCTGCTGGTCTGCAGAAATGTGGTGTGTTCCCCAGAGTTCACAGCTGTCCACCTCAAGGTGTCTGTGACAGAGGAGCAACTGGTTTTCAAGAGGAACATGCTATTCTTCTTGAGTGTTTGTGTTCAACACAAGAGAAATCCAGAAGTGATCCAGAGAACAAACCCTTTCTTTATTTCATTTCTAGGGAAACCGCCTCATCACCCCCTTCCCACCCGGGAGGCCCAGGACCCAGGTGAGGTGCCTGACGCACCTCTGGGACAGCTGCAGCCCCATTTCACAGCCCAGGTAACACTCCTTCATCCAAGAAAGACATTTTAATAACGTTTTACTAACTGCTTAAGTATTGCATTTTCATTATTGAAACTTCAAAATGCAGTAAACAATTTTAAAAGCCTCCAATTTTCAGCACCCAAACATAGTTACCAGTAACATTTCAGTGTGTTTCCTGCTGGGTTTTTCAAAATTTAAATTGTTTAATGTTTTGAAATCTGTTTAACTTCTTAAAAATTGAGATACATGCACTAAAATCCTACTGTAAGCTCAATGCATTTAACATGTATATATACTCATGCAACCTAGATCAAGATATCAAACATTCTCACTCATTTTTCCCTTCACCTATTTCACCCATCCCCCCACACCCCTCCCTCATGACAACTACCAGTCCTCTCTGTCTGAGTCTATTTCTGTTTTGTTTGCTTGTTTTGTTTTTTAGATTACACATGTAAGAGAAATCATATGATATCTGTCTTTCTCTGATTTATTTCTCTTAGTATTAATACCCTCTGGGGTCATTTTATTGCAAATGGCAATTTCATTCCTTTTAATGGCTGGGTAAATATCCCGTTGTATATAGGTGCCGCCTCTTCCTTATCCATTCATCTGTTAATGGACACAGGTTGCTCCCCTATCTTGGCTATTGTAAATGATGCTGCGATAAGCATGGGGGTGCGTGTATCCTTTTGAATTAATGATTCTGTTGTCTTTGTATGAATTCCCAGAAGTGGAATTGCTAGGTTGTATGGTATTTATAGTTTTAGTTCTTTCAGAAACTTGTATACTACTTTCTATAGTGGTTGCACCGATTTAGGATCCCACCAGCAGTGTGTAAGGGTTCGCTTTCTCTCCGCATCCTCGCCAACACTCATTCCTTGTCTTGTCGATATGAGCCACTCTGACTAGTGTGGTTTTGATTTGCATTTCCCTGATGATTGGTGATATGGGGCATCTTTTCAAATGCCTGTTGGCGGCCATCGGTATGTCTTCTTTGGAAAAATGTCTATTCAGGCCCCCTGCTAATTTTTAAATAAGATTATTTGTGTCTTTGGTGTTGAGTTGTGTGAGTTCTTTATATATTTTGGGTATCAGCCCCTTATTGGATGTATCATATGCAAATATATTCTCCCATACAGTAGGATGCCTCTTTGTTTTGTTGATGGCTTCCTTTTCTGTGCAGAAGCTTTTTAGCTTAATGTAGTTAACTTATTTTTGCTTTTATTTCCCTGGCAGGTGAGACATATCCAGAAAAAAGTTATTCATGCTGGCATTCAAGAGTTTACTGCCTATGTTTTCTTCTAGGAGTTTCACGGTTTCAGGTCTTATATTTAGGTCTTTAATACATTTTGAGTTAATTTTTGTGTATGGCGTAAGACAATGATCCCGTTTCATTCTTCTGCACATAGCTGTCTAATTTTCCCAACACCATTTATTGAAGAGACTATCTTTTCTCCACTGTATATTCTTGCTTATTTTGCCATATATTAATGACCATATAGGGCAGGGTTTATTTATGTGCTCTGTATTCCATTCCGTTGATCTATGTGTCTGTTCTTGTGCCAGTGCCATACTGTTCTAATCACTGTAGCTCTATAGTACAGTTTGAAGTCAGGGAACATAATACCTCCATCTTCGTTTTCTTTCTCAAGATTACTTTGGCCATTCGGGTCTTCTGTGGTTCCATACAAAGTTTAGGATTATTTGTTCTAGTTCTGTGAAAAATGCCATTGGTATTTTGATAGGGGTTGCATTGAATCTGTAGATTGCTTTGAGCAATATGGCCATTTTAAAAATATGAGTTCTTCCTATCAATGAGCATGGGATATCTTTCCATGTATTTGTGTCATATTCAGTTTCATATTCAGTTTCTTTCATGAGTGTCTTATGGTTTTCAGAGTACAGGTCTTTCGCTTCTTTGGTTAGATTTATTCCCAAGTATTTCATTCTTTTTAATACTATTGTAAATGGGATTGATTTAGTAATTTCTCCTTCTGTTAGTTCATTATTTGTGTATAGAAATGCAACAAATTTCTGCATATTGATTTTGTATCCTGCAAGTTTATGGAATTCATTTATTGATTCTAGTAGTATTTTGGTGGGCTCTCTAAGGTTTTCTATATATAGGTATCATGTCATCTGCAAATAGTGACAATTTTACTTCTTCCTCACCAATTTGGATAGCTTTTATTTCTTTTTCTGTCTGATTACAGTAGCTGGGCCTTAGAGTACTGTGTTGAAATAAAGTGGTAAGAGAGGGCATCCTCATCTTGTTCCAGATCTTAGAGGGAGGAAAAGCTTTTAACTTTTTGTCATTGCATATGACATTAGCTGTTGGTTTGTCACATATGGCCTTTATTATGTTGTGATATATGTTTCCCTCTCTACACACTTAGTTGAGAGTTTTTATCATGAATGGATACTGAATTTTGTCATATGCTTTTTCATCATCTATTGAAATGATCATATGGTTTTTATCTTTACTTTTGTTAATGTGGTATATCATGTTGATTGATTTGTGGATATTGAACCATCCTTGCATTCCTAGAATAAATCCCACTTATCATGTTGAATGATACTGTTAATGCATTTTTAAAATCAGTTTGCTATGGGATACAAAATTAATACACAGAAACTTGTTGCGTTCCTATATGCTAACGATGAACTAGCAGAAAGAGAAATCAGGAAAACAATTCCATTCACAATTGCATCAAAAAGAATAAAATACCTAGGAATAAACCTAACCAAGAAAGTGAAAGACCTCTACCCTGAAAACTACAAGACACTCATGAGAGAAATTAAAGAGGACACCCATAAATGGAAACACATCCCATGCTCATGGATAGGAAGAACTCATATTGTCAAAATGGCCATCCTGCCTAAAGCAGTCTACAGATTCAATGCAATCCCTATCAAAATACCAACAGCATTCTTCAACGAACTAGAGCAAATAGGTCTAAAATTCATATGGAACCTCAAAAGACCCTGAATGGCCAAAGCAATCCTGAGATAGAAGAATAAAGCTGGGGGAATTATGCTCCCCAACTTCAAGCTCTACTACAAAGCCACAGTAATTAAGACAATTTGGTACTGGCACAAGAACAGACCCATAGACCAATGGAACAGCCTAGAGAG